TCAGTTGGACTGCCAGATGGGGAAGCATGATTCATAATTCCAGAGAATGTGTTTCCACTGCTCCAGAGTCTAATGACGGCGAGCTTTACACCACTCCAGCAGACGCTTGGCATTGCGCATGGTGATCTTAGGCTTATGTGCGGCTGCTAAACCATGGACACCCATTTCATGAAGCTCCCGACGAACAGTTTTTATGCTGACATTGCTTCCAGAGGCAGTTTGGAACTCGATAGGGAGTGTTGCAACCGAGGACAGGGGATTTTTACGCGCTTCAGTACTCGGCGGTCCCATTCTGGTCGCTTGTGTGGCCTACCACTTCGCGGCTGAGCCGTTGTTGCTCCTATAAGTTTCCACTTCACAATAACAGCACTTACAGTTGACCAGGCCAGCTCTAGCAGGGCAGAAACTTGACGAACTGACTTGTTGGAAAGGTGGCATCCTATGACGGTGCCACGTTGAAAGTCACTGAGCTCTTCAGTAAGGCCATTCTACTGCCAATGTTTGTCTATGGAGATTGCATTGCTGTGTGCTCAATTTTATACACCTGTCAGCAACGGGTGTAGCTGAAATAGCCGAATCAACTAATTTGAAGGGGTGTCCACATACTTTTGTATATATAGTGTATATTGAATTTGTACCTTTAAAACAACAACAGATCTATATCCACTATCAGGGAAAAAAGTATAGGCTGGGCAGCACCTCCTTCTGGAGAATTGATCTATCTACAGCTAGCCTTTGGTCTCCCATCCAAGGTTTTAACCAAGCCCAGCCCTGCTTAGCTATGATATGTCACTGACTATTACCAATGTGCTATGATGAGAATTATTGTTGAAAGAAACTAAATAGATTCACTGTTGCTATCGAAGTCATTCCAAAAGGTAGGTTTAACAGAGAAAATGAAATGTGACTGTACTTTATCACTCATACAGTATATCATCAATTATGCTATTTAGGTCTATAAAGCATTTGTAAAGTAATCAACAGCTATTGTTTCAATTCAACCCATCTGTGCCACACTGACTTAGTCTGGCTTTAATTCCAGTTTGTCTACAAATTTATAATCGATATGTTGGATTCACATCTCCATCTCAACCATAAATCGAGGTAAAAAAAATAGGACTAAATCAAATAAAACTTTATTTAAAGTGCATATAAAGTTTGATTTGGTCCTGTTCTTTAACTTACATTTTTGGTTGAGATGGAGACATGAATCCAATATATAAATTATTAATTTGTAGACCAACTGGAATTAAAGCCAGACTAAGTGAGTGGCACAGATGGAACTATCCAATGGCTGTAATAATCTCGCAGAAGGTTGAATGGCATTGATCATTTGCACCATGTACTTTTATTGTAATCTCAACTGTAATCCAGGTCATTTGGTTCTGCTATTAGATGAAGCACAGTGATAACACATTAATCTGTCCGATAAGTAAACAAAATATCTGACATTGTATTCCCATTTGAACTATGCTGTGCTTTTAAATGGTTGAAAGCGCAGTGATAGACATTTGGGTGATAACTAAACCAAAAATCAGACATTGTTTTTACATTGGAATTTGGTTGCGCTTTAAGATGGTTGAAAGCATAGTGATAACATATTGGAAATTCAACTAACTTTTGGCTGTCTTTTTGAGTGGGTGAATATAGGTTGTGATCTCATTGATCAACGTCTCAACCACAGGAGGCTGCTGAGGGGAGGAAGGCTCATAATAATGGCTGGAATGGATTGAATGGAATGGTATCAAACATATGGAAACCACGTGTTTGTGTTCAATACCATTCAATTTATTCCATTCCAGCCATTACTATGAGCACATCCTCCCCAATTAAGGTGCCCCCTGTGGTCTCAACCAAGTACTATCCAATTATCCACGTTGAAATGGTGTGGTGTGTCCAGTGGGTTACCAACCTCTTAAATGTAACTAAATATAATCTAAAACGGTATCTAGGTAATCCCCAAAAGTAATTATTTATCCAGGGCCATAAACAATAACTACTAATGCTGTATACTCAAAGAAAGGTTCAAATCTCACCTTTCTGGAAAAAAGTGTTATAAATTGCTGAAGTGCAGTCACTTTTGAGGACACAAGCTCAAATACCCAGTACAAATATGATACAAATATGAAATAATTCATATGTATTTCCTATTCAACAAAACTTTATGAATAAGGCTTGAAATTACATTTATTACAAATATAGTATAATCCATTTATAAAATGACCAAGATTTCACCTTTTTATAACTGTAAAATACATATTTGTATACAGTGCATTTGGAAAGCATTCAGACTCCACTTTTTCCATTTTGTTACGTTACAGCCTTATTCTAAAATTGATTCAATATTTTTTATTCAGCAATCTACACACAATGCCCCTTAATGATAAAGCAAAAACAGGTTTTTAGAAATGTTTGCACATTTATTAAAAATTTAAAACAAAAATACCTTATTTACATAAGAATTCAGACCCTTTGCTACAGTGAGGGAAAAAAGTATTTGATCCCCTGCTGATTTTGTACGTTTGCCCACTGACAAAAAAATGATCAGTCTATAATTTTAATTGTAGGTTTATTTGAACAGTGAGAGACAGAATAACAACAACAAAATCCAGAAAGACGCATGTCAAAAATGTTATACATTGATTTGCATTTTAATGAGGGAAATAAGTATTTTCGAATAAGGCTATAACGTAACAATGTGGAAAAAGTCAAGGGGTATGAATACATTCTGAATGCACTGTATTTAGTGTTAGAGAAAAATTGCATATTTTCTAAAAAAGTCTTTCTTGGTCAAAACATCTGCCTCCATCACTATGAAGGTCTCACAGAGCTCTAGCTTGGCTTCCTGAACTCGTTAGGAACTTGCCTTTCATCTCATGTTAATCTTGTCCGTCTATGACAAACAGAACGTGGTTTCTGTTTAAAATCTATGAATGTGCTACACGCAACGAAACCACTCTCTCCTGCTGCGTTACGATGTAAGAATTCCAGTCATATGCGTTGTTAGTGGCTGTGACATAGGGCTCAGCCAGGAGTTGATGGACAATCGGAAGAGCAAACAAAATGGTCGGAGGGACATCCCAGCTTCAAGTGGTGTCAGATTTCACATCCTGCTTCACACAGGCAGGAGAGACATACTCCTGTGTCTGTGAGAATCAGGGCCACCGCTCAATGCAAGCCATTTCGATCTTCAGTGTCCACAGATCTATTTATAAACAAATATGACGGCCGGTACCAGAACCACGCAGGTACCCTAAACAGTGGACTTAACATCAAAGAGGTTTTAAAACTAATTTGATGATGCAGTTAAAATGTGTATATCCATAGCTTTGCTCTATTATTTTGGATCAACTGATTCAGTGGAAGTATAAAAGAGAAATGACACATTTTAAACGCTATGAATCATATCCTGTGTGAGATGGTCAGAAAGATTAGCCACCAATGTTCACTTCCACATTCATCGCAGGTTGCAGTATGTGATAAACAACCCAGCTAACAAATCAAAGGGGAGAGAACGTTTTTGTAATGTTACCCATAATGTTCTCCTGATGTTTGAGTGTTCATTTTTTCCATTAGTTATGAGAACATTCTATGTATGTTAGCAAAAACCTCCTGAGAACCTATTTAGCATGTTTTGGCATTAGAGTTAGGAGAACATTGCCTTAATGTCAAACAGAACATGGTTACCATGTTTTCAGAATATCCAATATTAATGTTCTAGACATGTTTCATGGGAATGTTGCAAGAACATTCCTGTCCAATGACGTTTAAAACAAACGTGGTGGCATAGCAGGAAGATCGGATGAACCAAGAGGTTGTTAGTCCAAATCTCAGGTGAGGACATAATAATAATAATAATAATAATAATAATTACTGTATAAATGAACATGAACAATGTAATCATGTATGTTAAAGTGTGTCAAATATGTAAGTTGTAAACATTGTATATTAAAAGCACTGTTTGTGTGGGTGTCCCTAACCTTGACAACAGACAAAGAGCTGTGAATGGATCAGTGGTTCACCAATCAGGACCTTGATGGGATCTGAAACAGTAAAAAATATATATATTTGGGTGATGCCCTAAAAGCTTATTTAGGGTTGTCCCTGGAACAAGCTGGGAATTAGACAAAATCCTCCAGGGGACCATGACAGAACGTCCTATGTTTTAAACCTCATTGGACACAAGAATATTATTATATTATATTATATTATGAGAACATGGCAACTATGTTCTGTGTATGTTTGGTGTGACGTTGATGGAATATTCTCCTAACCTTCAGAAAACTGGACACTGGAATATTCTTGCAATGTTCTAATGAAACGTGCCTAGAACATTAATATAGAATATTTGGAGAAGATGGTAACCATGTTCTGGGTAAGTTCTGTTTGACATTAAGGGAATGGTCTCTTGGAAACATCACTGGAACATTCCTATGAAAACGTTTGGTAACGACCTAATGACACTCTTAAGGGAATGTTCTCTAAAGTTGTGGGAAAGTTTGTTTGCCTGATGTGAGACACTTCTCACTCTCTGCACTGCAGGTACTTCAGTATCTTCTCTTATTATCATTCCAACTGGAAACCTGTGAAAACGATTGATTCAATTGAAAAATCTAGCATGCCCAACTGAAATATATAGATGCATCTCTAGGTGCTGTAACCCTGGTTTCATTTTCTTTCTATTTCAGCCACAAAGCCTTGGTCAACAAATGCACTGATTGTGCAACATTCAAACTATTATTTGGGGGATTACCATTAGTATTTCTACTATGCTCTATCATATCACACACCAACCACTTCAAGAAAGGAACCTTTTGGAATCAATCCTTGGGCAAACTTGGACTGGGGAAGCCAACAGGTAAAAATGGGGTTGTCTGGAGAGGTTGATGCATTCAAATCAAACTCAGACACACTGTACACACACACACACACAGACATGCACTCAGAGACACACTTCTGGGAAGTGGCCTCAGAAGAACACACTAGCTAGTGACAGTCGACTGACAGTAGCTGTTCAGAAGTGGATGGTGTGTGAAGGCAGCCAGATCTCCCCAGTCTAGATCTCTCTGCACTACCATGATCAACATGTACCAGACCAGCCTGCCTCCACCACCGATCCCCCCACGGCTAGACTCTGTCAAGTCAGCACCAGGACCGGGCCACAACAAACCTCTCCTCGGTTTCCTCATTGGTATGATAGTGCTCCAAATGCTGCTGCTACTGGGGGGATTCACCTACCTGTACCACAAGGAAAACGAGGTAAGAACTCACCTTTCTAGATATGGTTATATGTTTATTCGTTTTTTTGTGCCACGTTTCTTAGTGCCAAGTTCAAAACTATCATAGGTCATGGATACAAGTCTATTTTTGTTATGCAGTCTATTTGTTGGTAACACTTTATTTGGATAGTCCATCTGTAAGTGCTCTACAGACTCTACTAACCCTAGCTCTAACCCTTATCCTAACCTTTATTCTAAACCTAACCCTAACCTTAGCAAGCAGTTGCTTATCAACAGATAGTTTGTTGATAGTATGACCATCTGTAGAGCATCTACAGATGAACTACCCGGACTATCCAAATAAAGTGTGACCCGTTTAATTATTTTATAGCTGAAATCTATCTTGGACTCTGCTAGAGAGTGAGATATTGTTTGACTTTGACAGCCGTCGACTAAACGTGACATAGTAAAGTGTCTCTTCAAAGAGCGATGTGGTTTACTGAGCAAGAGCGTATTTTTTCGACATCTAAAGTATTTCAGTGTCAACCTAGGCCTACTATTCTTCAAGCACAGGAAACACTGAACCTCAGTTATAAAACAATTAAAATGGGTTCATGAGGACATTTTCCATGATCAGAATAAACATTTAACAGAAACATTTAGAAACAGCACATGCTGCTGCTTAGTCCTAACATGCTTCATGAACTTGTCCTGATGTGAACTTGAAAGACTGAAGTGTGATCCTCCTTAAGCAGTGCTGATATTAAATATAGGGTTAACATTAATTCCTGCTATGTTTGGGCTCAGTATGAGGAGGACTTTGAACACAAGTACCTGGATGACATGATCGTCCTGAGGAGACTTGGGGAGTGTGAGAAAGACAGCCAATCAGTGCTGGACTGTAAGAAGCTTGTGGAGAAATACAAAAACATCATAGCAAAGGTAAGCCGAGGTTGCTGAGACTCAAATTAAGGTTTTATGAGTAAATTTGTAGAATAAAAACTATCCAGTTTTAACAGATAATTAAGCAATACTATGCTCTCTCTCTCTCCTCTCAAGGTCTCACAAGTGGAAGGAAAAGGTATGTTCAAATATTTAATTACATACAGTGAGTTCCAAAAGTATTGGGACAGTGACACATAATTTGTTGTTTCGGCTCTGTACTCCAGCACTTTGGATTTGAAATGGTACAATGACTATGAGGTTAAAGTGCAGACTGTCAGCTTTAATTTGAGGGTATTTTCATCCATATCGGGTGAACCGTTTAGAGATGACAGCACCTTTTGTACATAGTCCGCCCATTTTAGGGGACCAAGAGTATTGGGACAAATTCCCTTATGTGAATTGAAGTAGTACCATTTTAAGTATTTGGTCCCATATTCATAGCACACAATGACTACATCAAGCGTGTGACTCTACACATTTGTAGGATGCATTTGCTTTTTGTTTTGGTTGTGTTTCAGATTATTTTGTGCCCAATCGAAATTAATGGTAAATCATGTATTGTGTCATTTTGGAGTCACTTGTATTGTAAATAAGAATAGAATATGTTTCTAAACACTTCTACATTAATATAAATGCAACCATGATTACGGATAATCCTGAATGAATCGTGAATAATGATGAGTGAGAAAGTTAGACGCACAAATATCATACCCCCAAGACATGCTAACCTCTCACCATTACAATAGCAGTGGAGGTTAGCATTTTTCTGGGGGGGTATGATATTTGTGCATCTAACTTTCTCACTCATCATTATTCACGATTTATTCAGGATTATCCATAATCATGGTAGCAGCCACATTAATCTAGAAGTGTTTAGAAACATATTATATTCTTATTTACAATAAAAGTGACTCCAAAATGACAATACATTATTTACCATTCATTTCGATTGGGCACAAAATAATCTGAAACACAACCAAAACAAACAGCAAATACATCCAACAAATTTGTAGTCACAAGCTTGATGTACTGTAGTCATTGCGTGCTAGGAATATTGGGCAAAATACTTAACTTTTGACTACTTTAATACACATACAGTTGAAGTCGGAAGTTTACATACTCTTAGGTTGGAGTCATTAAAACTCATTTTTCAACCACTCCACAAATTTCTTGTTAACAAACTATAGTTTTGGCAAGTCGGTTAGGACATCTACTTTGTGCATGACACAAGTAATTTTTCCAACAATTGTTTACAGACAGATTATTTCACTTATAATTCACTGTATCACAATTCCAGTGGGTCAGAAGTTTACATACACTAAGTTGACTGTGCCTTTAAACAGCTTGGAAAATTCCAGAAAATGATGTCATGGCTTTAGAAGCTTCTGATATGCTATTTGTCATCATTTGAGTCAATTAGAGGTGTACCTGTGGATGTATTTCAAGGCCTACCTTCAAACTCAGTGCCTCTTTGCTTGACATCATGGGAAAATCAAAAGAAATCAGCCAAAAACTGTAGACCTCCACAAGTCTGGTTCATCCTTGGGAGCAATTTCCAAACGCATGAAGGTACCATGTTCATCTGTACAAACAATAGTACGCAAGTATAAACACCATGGGACCACGCAGCCGTCATTCCGCTCAGGAAGGAGACGCGTTCTGTCTCCTAGAGATGAACGTACTTTGGTGCGGAAAGTGCAAATCAATCCCAGAACAATAGCAAAAGGACCTTGTGAAGATGCTGGAGGAAACAGGTACAAAAGTATATATATCCACAGTAAAACGAGTCCTATATCGACATAACCTGAAAGGCCGCTCAGCAAGGAAGAAGCCACTGCTCCAAAACCGCCATAAAAAAGCCAGACTACAGTTTGCAACTGCACATGGGGACCAAGATCGTACTTTTTGGAGAAATGTCCTCTGGTCTGATGAAACAAAAATAGAACTGTTTGGCCATAATGACCATCGTTATGTTTGGAGGAAAAAGGGGGTTGCTTGCAAGCCGAAGAACACCATCCCAACCGTGAAGCACGGGGGTGGAAGCATCATTCTGTGGGGGTGCTTTGCTGCAGGAGGGACTGGTGCACTTCACAAAATAGATGGCATCATGAGGAAGGAAAATTATGTGGATATATTGAAGCAACATCTCAAGAAATCTGTCAGGAAGTTAAAGCTTGGTCGCAAATGGGTCTTCCAAATGGACAATGACCCCAAGCATACTTCCAAAGTTGTGGCAAAATGGCTTAAGTCAAGGTATTGGAGTGGCCATCACAAAGCCCTGACCTCAAACCTATAGAACATTTGTGGGCAGAACTGAAAAAGTGTGTGCGAGCAAGGAGACCTACAAACCTGACTCAGTTACACCAGCTCTGTCTGGAGGAATGGGCCAAAATTCACCCAACTTATTGTGGGAAGCTTGTGGAAGGCTACCCGAAACGTTTGACCCAAGTTGAACAATTTAAAGGCAATGCTACCAAATACTAATTGAGTGTATGTAAACTTCTGACCCACTGGGAATGTGATGAAAGAAATAAAAGCTGAAATAAATAATTATCTCTACTATTATTCTGAAATTTCACATTCTTAAAATAAAGTGGTGATCCTAACTGACCTAAGACAGGGAATTTTTACTAGGATTAAATGTCAGGAGTTGTGAAAAACTGAGTTGAAATGTATTTGGCTAAGGTGTATGTAAACTGAATTTGTCCCAAAAATGTTGATCCCCTAAAATGGGTGGACTATGTACAAAATGTGCTGTCATTTCTAAACGGTTCACCCGATATGGATGAACATACCCTCAAATAAAAGCTGACAGTCTACACTTTAACCTTATAGTCAAGGTATCACTTCAAATCCAAAGTGCTGGAGTACAGAGCCAAAACAACAGCAAGTGTGTCACTGCCCCAATACCTTTGGACCTCTTTGTATATTTTTCTTTACTTTACTTGCCACTCTACCAAGCTCACCTTCTGTCAGCAGAGAACCTCCTATTCTGAGAGGGTGAAGACTGACTGACTGACTGACTGTCTGTCTGTTCTCCGTTTCAGCTGCCAAACTCACTGGGAGTGTGCCCTCGAATGGAGCCATGGCACGCGTGATAGTCAAGCAACCTGTGGCTGACAGACCTCCTACATGTAAGAGATTTGACTTATCATGATCATTCTTGGTTTCTTTTTTTCCTACATAATTGTAGCCTCAATTCAAGATAAGAGATTCAGTATAAGGTTTTAAAACGCACTTACAGTCCACAAGGCCAGAACAGACGATGGGAAACGCACAGTACTACGTAGAGCCATGACTACATACACATACTGCATACACATGCTAACACACGTACACATCGATTATGTATTGTAGATATGTTGTAGTAGTGGGTAATAATGTGTTGTGAAGGGTAACGTTTGAAGCGTATGTACATTTCCTTAATGTTGCTGGACCCCAGGAAGAGTAGCTGCTGCCTTGGCATCAGCTAATGGGGATCCATAATAAATACAAATACTTAAAAATATTGTCTGGTTGTACAGCAAAGTATCTGGAGTGGAACATAGGCCACTCAGTGCTGAGGAACGTCCAGTACTTCAAGTCCAGCTGGCTGAAGGTTCTGCAGCCTGGAGACTACATCATTTACTCCCAGGTGGCCTTCTCCAAATGGCACCCCAAAACCCTTTTGGCCAGCCGCGTGAAACTGAGGAAGGGGGAGGCTGGACAGGAGAAGGACCTCATGACATCCTACTGCAGCCTGGGGGACCAGAATCATACAGACCTGTGTACGGCCTTCCAGGGAGGAGTGTTCAGTCTGAAATCTAAAGACCAGCTCTCTGTGTGGGTGACGGACCCCACCCTGGTCAACTATGAGGAGGGGACTACCACCTTTGGATTATATAAACTGTAGGCTAGACATCACCTACAGTATGGAGAGGATGGACTGAGTTACTTTGGATTATGACTATTGGAGTGATGGGTGGAATCAAGGCCATGCATGCTGTTGGATTTGGGACAGGACTGATAACAGATCTGCTAAATGGATCTACACATGGACTAGACCAATTTGAACATGTGGATCTTTTTAAAAAGCCCAAGGTGAAACTAATCCCTGGAACTGTAATTTATTGCTGTTGATTGGATACCCTACTATCCCTGCCCCCACAATGTTAGATATTAATATTCATTTCTAGGAATATGGCAATGACTGTGTATTTATTTTGACGGATGGTGTCTGTATAGTTAATAAATTATTATATTTTAATAAAAAAAATTGCTTGATTATTTAATGAAATATAACCATATATCTCTGTGCTAAGTTTCCACTTGGTTTATTGCATACAGTATCGGCTCAGTGCTTGGAACTGATGCAACCTGTGAAACCCATATACACAAGCCCCCCCCTCCCCCTCCCCGCAGTTTTGTGAGTTGCTAAGCGTAATTATCAAACTAATGGTTTGTTGTTTGGCTCTAGAACACGACTCATCACCACAGACAAATGTAATGTACTTTATGCTTATGGTCCCCAACACAACTTATGAAACCAAGTTGAAAGAAAAAAATAAAAGGTGCCTACCCTGCAAACCTTCTGCAGCAACGTTGCATCCCCTCACAACAAACATCATGCAGTAACCTCTAGAATTAGCACCACAGCAAGAAAACCACACAGACAGGTCTAATCAAAATCAGTGCATTTCATGATGATGCTGTGACAGCAATATGAGGTCCTAACACAGTGCACTGACTGTAAGCTATTTTGTATAGTAACATCTATTCCAGGGGTATTCAAATCTTACCCTATGACAGCGTTTCCCAAACTCGGTCCTGGGGACCCCAAGGGGTGAACGTTTTCTTTTTTTCTGCAGCATTACAAAGCCAATTAATAAAAATAATCAAAGCTTGATGAGTTGATTATTTTAAATCAGATGTGCAGTGCTAGCCAAAACGTGCACCCCTCGTGGTCCCCAGGACAGAGTTTGGGAGACCCTGCCCCACGAAGTCCGGAGTACTGCTGGCTTTCTGTTCTACCTGATAATGAATTGCACCATCTTGTCCCAGGTCTAAAATCAGTCCTGATTAGAGGGGAATAATGAAAAGAGCAGTGAAACTGGCTTCCAGGTCCAGATTGGAATTTCAAGGATATATTCAATGACTATCGGGTTTATAAAAACAGTATGAATGGTTATTTTCCATGTATGGCAACAAACTCCACACAGCCCTGCCGTCATATACACCATTCCACTCCAGAGGTAGAGTGAGTTGTTGAACGGCATGGAAAGAGTAAGTCTACAGCATGGAGGTGCAGTGTACCCTGTCAAGAGGTGAAGCGAGGAGAAGTGGCTTTCACAGGATGTAATCTCTACTCACTCATTCCATCCCGTCGTGGGTCTCTCAACATACGCCAGTCACTGTAGCATGTTCTATGGACCTGTGCAATCACTCAGAAGTGGAAAACAGGTGGAATGTAATTTACCAATGGACTTTTCCAGCATGAATGAAAACTGATGAATAACAACGGATCAAGTTAAGATTTTTATTAAAAGAACGACCATACTGAAAACATGAAAGTATGCAGCCGCTACAAAAAAAAAATGCCTTACAATAGTTATAATTTTGAATCAAGATACTTTTTCAAATGATACACGTGGAGTGGTCTGCCGACCCTCTAAGTGCTCGCTTACGCTATCAGGCATTGAAAACTATAAGATACTTTATGAAGAAAAAAAACATTGATGGTAAAAATAATAATCTCAGCAATAAAACATGAAAATGATATTGAAGGACATTTGTACAGATGACAAAACATGTGGAGCTGACCTGACATAGCCCGTGGGGCCTGACATAGCCCGTGGGACCTGACATAGCCCGTGGGACCTGACATAGCCCGTGGGACCTGACATAGCCCGTGGGACCTGACATAGCCCGTGGGACTTGAACACAACAGCTTGTAACAGTATACCGCTATACATCAGGACTACAGAGAACACACAGTGGCCAGGAAACAGGAACAAGGCAATAGGCCCATTTTGGTTAAGGGCGTGGAGGAGTCATCACTGTACATTAACCGAGATACGTTTCTTTACACATTCTGGTCTACTGCCCAACTGACTGTCTCAGAGTGACACTGTAAAGTAAAAACAGTCAAACTGGAGCGGTCACATTGCATTTTTATCAACTTCCTACTGTCACTCTGCAGTATGAGGTTGACATCAGCTTTTACAGTGCATGCACTACATGTCATCCTGGGAGGAAGTGCTGTGATTCAACTGAATCATCTTTCACCTAAGGCCTTGACATAAGGCGTCAAAGCCTGATTCCACATTGAATCGTTACCCGACCCTTACCTGTCCCCATGAACGTCTAAACAGTGCCATCAGTCCCACTGAAATGTGACAAAACATGACAGAAAACCTGTGCATGTAAATCCCCAGCCACTTCCTCTGTACCTCATAACTTAATCCACTGGGATCAGGAGGCACTTGATTGCACTACACACATTTTACACTCTCCATCAACACAATCAAAGTGGGGACATCGCTCCATCTGCATTAACTAATATGAGAAAGAAGCATGAAAATGTCAGACCAGGGACGATATTTATAAAGCGTCCGAGAAAAGGATCATCTTTGTTCCCTTTTAGACCATAATTAGTAAGGATCAAAATGGACAGGAGGGCCTGATCCTAGAACAGCAATCCTACTCAGACGCTCTGTGAAAACGGGCACAGGAATGTAACCCCAACTCACATTGTGGGACACAGTTTACTACGTACAAATAACATTGTTCCTGTGGTACCAAATTCTTAAAATCAAAATGGGTTGTGTTTTGTCTTCCCCAATGGACAATGTCAAATAAATAAGATCACTTAAAACCATTTTTTCCTTAGGTTATCATTCCGTAGAGGTGGTTTCTGCAGTGCGGGTTGGTTTAAGGCAGAAACCCAGACTGCCCCAAGTGGGTTCCCAGTACCATATAGCCTACATACAATATACATGTTTCTACATAATGAAATGTTTTAATGGAAAATAAATAAGCAATATATGTTCTTTAACCCCAGAATAACGCAAAGCTATGTATTATTAGTACATGTATTTAATTGTTATCGGTATATCGTTTCGGTAAGAAAGTATAGGCGACATAATTGTCATCATCTTTACATGTGTCTATTCTATTCTATTCTATGCGCAATACACCATATGTCATTTTCTATTTGTTATATATCTATATCCCTGATAGCTTTGGCCTATATATATATATATTGATCATCACATGTCTAATGAGTAACAATACCTTAAAAATACTGTACATCCATGCAGATTGTAAGAAACACAGTCAAGGACGTTATTCGCTAATATTAATACCAGCTTGGATATGAGCAGTATTGAAATCCACTCACCATGAACTAGAAGACTGTTTGATAGTCCATGGATAGGTCTCACCCATCTGAAATGAAAAGCTAAAGCTTTTAGGCCTACGAAATTGCTTGGAGACACAGAGTCTCACGTCTAGAATGTGCAATCACAAAATGCCAATCATGTTCACTAAAGCTCGATGCAAGCCACGCTCTTTCCCGACAAGGCTGCGGGGGGTGTCCTCAACACCGAAATAAACAAACAATGCTGTAACAGACATAGAGTGGGACAGATGAGCCCTAGTTATGGCGGAGGGAGTTGCTCTCCTGCTGAAACAAGTGCATGCAAGAGAACACCCATTAAACCTAAAAGATGGCTTCTCGCTCCCATTAGATTTCCTATTGAAATGTAGACACAGTAGTCCAGAGTGGCGATGCAGCTGGTGACACTAGAGCACTAGCTATTTCTCCTTTGTCCGAAATGGTTCCATCAGAGTTGACCAATCACAGTGCCAGCAGACAGGAGGCAACCAATCAGAATTTTCGCTTCTGGTTAGATAATGAAGAGTTCAGCATGTGAGGCCAAGCATCAGAACAGAGAGTTGTTCTAACCAAGGTCCAGATACATGAATCCAACCCTTCTGTGTTGTAGGGATTGAACAGTCACAAACAGTCGCACACACACACGGGATAGGTAGGTAGGTAGTTGGGTAGGTGTGGGGAGTTGTTCAGTAACCTCCATCCTCCCAGGCACAGTCGTTCTTCTGCTTGGCCAGCTTCCTGACCACTCTCTCCAGCTCCTTACGAGACTTCTGCTCCTCCTCAAGACATTGCTTCATCCACTTATTCTCCTGACGAAACACATACAAGTTCAATATTACACAGCACAGACGTGTGAGAAGAACACACACACCTACACCCACAAGTATGCACCAACACAAACCACAATTACCCACTACTAAACAAAATGGCTTGTCAGCCTTTACATTTGTCAGAGTGAACATTAATAGTTAATCTACTGTTTTACCTTCTTTAATTCATGGACCTCATCCTTTAAAGCATACACCGCATCAACCAGACTCCTACCAGTCAAGAAACAAAGGTTATCAGAAAGTGGGACAATAGCATATTATTTTAATGTCACATTATGTTCCTTGACAAAGGCTTTGGAATTTGAGTGTTCCAGGCAGTCGAACATAACAATTTCACAAATATTGACGAGACAATTTCTTGCTTCTCAATGTTCAAGGCAAAACCACCACTTGCTAATACCTTAAAGTCATTATGTAAAGAAATACATTTCTTAATTTAAATGGATCAATAAATACCATTGTGTCCTACAGTAGACTTAAAAAAGCCTCATATTAGATGTGTTGAAACGACCACCTAAACAAAACTAAATGCAGATCTATGTGCATACAAAGTAGGGCTGGGCGATATGGACAAAATATCATATTATGATCCAAAGTATACTTTATGAGTAGTTCATGATCTTAGGGGGCATCAAATTATAAGCGATTTCAAATGGGAATTATTGACAGGGTAGGAGCCAAAGTTTCTAGGGGACCCTAATTAGATGTTACATTCCATGTTTTCTTACGTCATGTAGCTAGCCAGCTAGCTAACATATTCATGTTTCACCTATTCCTCTCTAATTTAAGATAAAATTGCACAAACATGCTTATCTAGACCTACCCCGGCACTGGTACCAGGCTGTATTAGCCATCTACGATTCCTCTGACTCTTAGCCAGCTAACTAGCAATTAGCATTAGCGGCTAACAATAGTTATTTTAGCCACAACTTGCTAAGAAAATACTAACTAGCAGACAGTAGTTTGCAGACAGTAAGATAGACAAATTAATAGTGTAATTATAGAACGCTTGTGGAAAGCAGCATCATTGTCACCAACATCTTTCTGCATCTGACCATGCAGACTGCAGAGTGAAGGGCAATAAAGTTTTAGTTCCTCCATGGTCGAACAAATGCTCTCTCCTTGAGTGACAGGGGGCAGGGCTTGGTGTGGAAAGTGGCATGCAGCAGATGGGAGAAAGAGGACTCAAGTAGATAACGGAGTTACACACGCTGGAGTTGCCTATCACATTTAACAAACCAAACATTGAAAAACCGTTATAGAAGGTATAGAAGTAAAAACCCAAACCGTCCATGCATCAATAGCGGTATATAGTAAAATATGGTATACCGCCTCGCCCTAATACACAGTGTTGTAATGGTTTAATAAAAGTATATTCTCCTGAGTGATGGCCATCTTACTTTTCTTCTATGATTGTTTGACCGTTGTTCTTCATCTCCTCCACCATGATCTTCTCTTCCTCCGGCAGCAGGACCTGAGGGACAGACTCTTTCCTCACCGCTGCAGACACATACAATAACACATAGGTAAGCCTGAGTCATTACCATGCCTATCTATGGGCCATTAAAGGTGTGGTACACACACACACACACACACACACACACACACACACACACACACACACACACACACACACACACACACACACACACACACACACACACACACACACACACACACACACACACACACGTCGGCTCACCTGTGTTGGTCTGATGCTGGCTGGCCCCGGTGCAGTAGGCCTCGATCACCTTCAGAATCTGGGCATCCTCCTCCAGAGCAGCTGTACCTGTCAATCAAAGGCACACAGGGGAAACCGGGAGTCAGGAGCCTTCTGAACCACAAAAACAGACTTTGAAATTCCAACGTTCAACTGACACACAGACAGACAACTGATTTAGCTGCTTCATCTCTATGGTAACTGTTACAGATGGTCTGTTTCCCTCTCATTGTTCCAGGTAATTTAAAGTGACTGTCCAGTGTTTCCAGATTTCTATTAAATATGACCAATAATTAATTACAATATGAGTGAAATAGTTTCCCTTCCAATAAATGGTAATGAAGTATGTTTAAAAGCAGCTTTTCTGTGTTTGAATGGTATGGACGTACAACAGAATTGTGTGGGCGTATACCGGTCATAAAAAATATTCATGGCACGTAAACAGCTGATTGGCCAGCTCAGCCAATGAGCCAACTTGACATCACGTTAAATGAGGAAACAGCAAGCATTTGAGATACAAGTTTGAGGTGTTTAAGTGTTTTTTATTTTATTTACACTAAAGCCACAAATATGAGTATAGGATGAGTCAACAACATTATTTGGGTATGAGTTAACAGACTATGAACTTTTAAAAGTGAGATTTCACTGGACAGTTGTGACAGATACTTGGAGCTGGATGTGTTTGAAAAGCAATTGATTTTCACGCTCACCTTGCGATGGTACTGAATGTGTGAGGTACCATAAACCACATGAGATATGCGTTATGTGCAGTGAATTACACTGGAGTGTTGATTCACAGTGAGAGAAACAGGGTCATTGGTTAGGCGGTGACTGGATTTTGCCACGCAGAGTGTGAATCTGTGCTTTCCTTGGTGGCAACATATTTATCTATCATTTCCTAGAGTGCAATGATCAAACCTACTTTTCCGCAAGAGGAACTCATCGTCGGAATGTTTTCTTTCTGCTCTGCGTTTTGGGAGGAACTTCTTAATGGGCCCCGGGCTCTTACTGGAGTCCTGTAGGAGTGACAGAACTGTTAGGAGGGTACTGTACACAGAGTCATAGCCAACACAGTGACACACACCTTCAAGCCAGGGGGAAAAACATCATGGTAAATGCAAGCCTACAGTAACACACACACACACACACACACACACACACACATTGCCTCCATAGACAAAAACAAACACGGCGACAAAGTCTTAGATGTTCCACAAGCATGGGACAGCAGTAACCAAAGAAACCTGGGTCATGTTCATTAGGGCACGCAACAGGAAACAAAAATTATCATTTCTTATTGGACAATTCTAAGTAGCCACTCCCCGTTTCAGTCAGGTTTCTTCCATTTTGTGCCTAATGAACACGACCCTGGTGTTATTTTAAACAGTTTACTTTTAGAAACAAAATGTGTCCCCTCCGAGTCATTAATTAACACATTTTGTTTTTAGCATAACCATGTGGCCGATGATGTCATCACGTCTGCTATAATGAATCACCTTTACCATTAACGAGATCATTATTAAAATAATGAATAATTCATTTTAAACCCTCTTATATGTAACCCTCCCATTTTCAAACCTGTAATTTGACAAATAAAATTTCAATTTAAACCTGTAAATTGGCATTTATTCATTCTTATTTGATCATATGCTAGCCAAAGTGCAACAAGAAGCTGCTTCGTTGAAAATAAAGCACACACCGGTTCATTTATGCACAATGTGTCCATCTCAATAAAGCTCCCTAACAGACCTATTCAAAAGCGGGACTATATTTTCCCCATTTTCAAAATGTAAGCCTATGACAATGATTCTTTATAAAAGCTGAGGGGGACAGAGTGTTTCTGCATCAAATTCCACTTGTATCTGTTACCTAGAAGTAGCTTTGTGTTACCTAGAAAACAGATAGAGATCTCAGGTAGACCGTCTGCCAGAGGCTCTTGGTGAGTACAGGGGATAAAAGACAGACAAGGCAGCAGAGCACACAGGAAACCAACAGCTTACAGCAGAGGAAGAGGGAGAGGCAAACAGAGCAATGACATGCCACTTCAGCACATGGACGCACACATCCACACAGAAAGAGAGAGATAGAGATATATCTAGCCTTACCTTCAAGATATAAGACATCCTCTACAGCAGCCAGTATGGAGAGAGAGAGAGAGGTGTATGAGAAAAAAGAAATGGTGTGAGAAATTAGAAGAGGGTGAACAGTGAAAATGTCAATATATCTCCCCCCCCCCTTCATCCGGCAGTGTGAAGAAAACAGAGTGATGATTCCACAGAGAAAGAGAGAGGGAAAGGGGAGATGCATTCTCCAGAGAGGTAGAGGAGACCCTAGCTAATAGCTTCTTTAACCCTGGGGGCAGAGAGCATGGTGGGTAATGCTCAGAGTTGAACTGCTGCGCTTTAGAATATCGTGAAATCTCACCACAAATGACATTTTTTCAACCTACGTCAATGTATGTAACGTATTTTTGTCAATGTTTTCATGGATCTATGCAAAACTATAACCATTTTTAAGAGGACTATTCTGGCGAAATAAACGGCCAGTGACCTAGCTCGACCTCACCATACACTGACCACTTCCCAAGCCTGTGGAGTAGCAGCTGGTGCAGTCCACCACCAGGTCAACCTGACTGCCAGACAAACACCATTCAAACACAGGTCTGTACCGGAATGAATGTAGTTACTTATCACCAATACACCCCCCCCCGCCCACCTTGTCTAGACACTGTTTTTATATAGCTTCTGGGACCACCGTTTGCCTACTCATCTGCTAAGCGCTTTGCCCACACAAACAGCTATATCTGACAGGGTTTTTCCCTGGGCCTGTTAGAGTCATGTTACTGTAAGACGTAAAGCAGTACCCTTTACCCCAGGCTCTGAATCAACGTAGTGTGTGTAGGCTTTTGTCCTAACCCAGCACTATATCATGATTCAAGTAATCAGCTACTCATCAAGAAGCTGAATAGCTCCAGACGCTAGAGGGTTAGTGCTGGGCTGGAACAAAACCCTGCACACACTGCAGCTCTCCAGTATCAAGAGTGAAGCACAAAGAGATAGATGGATATACTGTAGGTCTGGGTTGGCCTACCTCCTTGTAGCACAGTGCAGCGGAGGGCTTGAGGGGTGGGGCGGGGCGCAGGCAGCTCAGGGACCAGGGCTTGGTGGTCTTGGGGGGCTCCAGGGGTCCCCGGTTGGCCTGGCTGGGGGTGCTGAAGCTGGGCAGGTGGGATTGGTGAGTGGGGGTGCCCACCATACTGACCGGCTTTCCCAACTCGTTCTACATAGTCCATACACAGAGGAAAGACAGTCAGATGGGATGTGTGAGGTTCAATGCAAGTTTAATGCAAGTGCCAGCCATGTGTGAAGTGCGGTGGATGTTCAAATGGTTCAGTGCAATGCGAGTTCTAGCTATATGTGAAGTGGTGTGAATGTTTTCACACTATGACCAAGTCTAGAGGGAAATACAGCACGGCCATTTTGTTTAGTGAACGTTCTCTACACAACGGCACTTTCTGAATCTTTGAAAAAATAAATCATGAACAGTGTGCCATGTCTTTACCTTGATAATGGGGCCCACTGGGCTTGCTCCTTCGGTGTAGGCATGGAGATGGTCCAGCCACTCCTGCAGCTCCTGGGGGTTACTGCAGAACACTGTGACGCGATCCATCGTGCTTCCTGCAACACACACACACACACTTCAGTGGGTTGCACTTTGCAGGGAAGTTTCAGGCTAGGTTACCTAGAGTTAGGTGTGGGTAGAACTGTTTGCAAGGCGTTTCGTAAAGCCCACATATAGGCACCTGGCATGAATCATAAACGTCCACCATGACAGCTGGTGAGTCGGGACTGGATTATGGTGTCATGGTTACAAAACCAGTTAGCCAATCATAGCCTGTGTCATGCGGCAAGTAAATAAGACAACTATGGTGAGTGGTTCTCCCTGCAGACCTGTCATGTTAATGATAGCATTGCATAAACGCTATGATGCATAGTTCACATAACTCATTGATGTAGTATCATTTCCCTTTCCCTCAGTGAATGTCACGAGTCATTGCATCATTAAAACCGAGATGAATCAAGGTTTACACAGCCAGCGTTTGGAATGAGAATGACTGTTAGAGCAGCTTGCTTTTATTTTATCAAAGGGATGTTCCATAGGAAATCCTCCCTTGGTTCGCTAAAATTAGGCACAACTGCATTACTGACCTTCAACCCACTGATGTGTAGAATATAATGGACCGGTGACCTCCAATCTATTCAACAGGACCAGTGTGTTAAGATATAGGCCTTTCACAGGAAACCCAATCCCTGACACTGATTGGAAATCACCATAATTCATCTATTTGATGGAACTGCAGACTATACCAAAGCGTATGAAAATGTATGCACTCACTACTGTAAGTCGCTCTGGATAAGAGCGTCCGCTAAATTACTAAAAAAGGCTCCCTCGCTAACCTACGGTACCTGTGATCTCAAAAGTGTAGTGGCCGTTCTCTGTGTCCGCCATCTGTCTGGAGACTGTGGAGCCTGTCAGTGGCAGCCTTCCCTGGGGGGAAGAAAGAGAAAGAGAGAGAGGAGGGGGGGGGGTGACACACTACCCCAGATTGAGTGCAATACCTGGGACACATTCAGAGGACACGCACCTGGTCCTCATTAGGTTACCTGGTATATGAAGCCGCTCATCCGCGGACTAGCAGACAGCATGACCAGCACACTGGGAAACATCATGAGGTAGCGCTCCTCTTTCTCCTATGGGAACACACATTCAGCGTCACAGAATCAGACGTAGATATGTCAAACACACACATTGACACCCACAGGTGAGCGTCTGGGAACTGGGGCAATGGGACATGAAAATCACTGTCACATGTACTGCATTGTTGAGGGACCTAGCCCAAAAGCATTTCGCTGCACATTTTATACCTGCTGTAAACTGTGTACGTGACGAATACATTTGATTTGACATCGAATGTGAATCCCAAATCACAATATTTCAACTAAGTTAAAAGGTAAAGAAAACAGGAAATAGGTTTGAAAGACGTTAGATAGACGTTAGGTGGTGCTTCAATCTGACCAAAACACAGCCAGACATTTGTTCCTCTCAGCCTTCAGATCCTCATAGTCAACCCCTACACAGAAACCACACTACAGGGGGGATGGCTTTCCACTCTATATTTGGCCAGTCTGAGGTTTCTGATTCATAATGAATTTAGATTCACAGGCCTAATGTATGAGATGGGGTGGCAATCAGCATATAGGACTCATCTCCAGAATGTGTTGGACGGAAACAATCTGCTCCAAGTAGTGTGGTAATGGCACGTTTAGTCATTTGGAAATGCTATCGACAGGCTTAGAATTGATACAAGGACATATTTCCCCAGAATTGTATCAATTCTAAGCCTGTGAGTGAACAAACAGGCAACAATTCTATTTCCTGGTTGTCAAGCAGAGAATGTAACTGGTCTACCTCACTTTTCTTGTTATTTGCCAAACTACACGTTCATGCTGCTCAAAACATTGTTATTTTGAACTTTGACCTTCTCGGAGGTGGTCTGTAGCACTCTCTCTGGGTAGTTGCCCTTACACAGAGCTAGGATCAGCTTACCGTCCCCAAATCCTAACACTTAATATTGGGGGACACCTGTACCTGTTGCTCTCACCTCATTGGTCCCGTTCTGCATGTGGACCTGGGACATGTAGGCCACGTGACCCAGAGACTTCATGCCGTCTCCCTCCCAGCCTCTCACTGGCTCTGACAGGATCTGTAGTTCCAGGTTCTTACGCTTCCGCAGGTCCTGACACTGGGTCTGGAAGGAGAGGTGCCCATTACTGTATAGTTCATATGAGAAATTGAAACACTGTTAGTGTGTGGTGAATAGATTCACCACAAGATAATACAGTGGGGGGAAAAAAGTATTTAGTCAGCCACCAATTGTGCAAGTTCTCCCACTTAAAAAGATGAGGCCTGTAATTTTCATCATAGGTACACGTCAACTACGACAGACAAAATGAGAAAAAAATATCCAGAAAATCATATTGTAGGATTTTTCATGAATTTATTTGCAAATTATGGTGGAAAATAAGTATTTAGTCAATAACAAAAGTTTCTCAATACTTTGTTATATACCCTTTGTTGGCAATGACACAGGTCAAACGTTTTCTGTAAGTCTTCACAAGGTTTTCACACACTGTTGCTGGTATTTTGGCCCATTCCTCCATGCAGATCTCCTCTAGAGCAGTGATGTTTTGGGGCTGTCGCTGGGCAACACGGACTTTCAACTCCCTCCAAAGATGTTCTATGGGGTTGAGATCTGGAGACTGGCTAGGCCACTCTAGGACCTTGAAATGCTTCTTACGAAGCCACTCCTTCGTTGCCCGGGCGGTGTGTTTGGGATCATTGTCATGCTGAAAGACCCAGCCACGTTTCATCTTCAATGCCCTTGCTGATGGAAGGAGGTTTTCACTCAAAATCTCACGATACATGGCCCCATTCATTCTTTCCTTTACACGGATCAGTCATCCTGGTCCCTTTGCAGAAAAACAGCCCCAAAGCATGATGTTTCCACCCCCATGCTCCACAGTAGGTATGGTGTTCTTTGGATGCAACTCAGCATTCTTTGTCCTCCAAACACGACGAGTTGAGTTTTTACCAAAAAGTTCTATTTTGGTTTCATCTGACATTCTCCCAATCCTCTTCTGGATCATCCAAATGCACTCTAGCAAACTTCAGATGGGCCTGGACATGTACTGGCTTAAGCAGGGGGACACGTCTGGCACTGCAGGATGAGTCCCTGGCGGCGTAGTGTGTTACTGATGGTAGGCTTTGGCTTTGGTCCCAGCTCTCTGCAGGTCATTCACTAGGTCCCCCCGTGTGGTTCTGGGATTTTTGCTCACCGTTCTTGTGATCATTTTGACCCCACGGGGTGAGATCTTGCGTGGAGCCCCAGATCGAGGAAGATTATCAGTGGTCTTGTATGTCTTCCATTTCCTAATAATTGCTCCCACAGTTGATTTCTTCAAACCAAGCTGCTTACCTATTGCAGATTCAGTCTTCCCAGCCTGGTGCAGGTCTACAATTTTGTTTCTGGTGTCCTTTGACAGCTCTTTGGTCTTGGCCATAGTGGAGTTTGGAGTGTGACTGTTTGAGGTTGTGGACAGGTGTCTTTTATACTGATAACAAGTTCAAACAGGTGCCATTAATACAGGTAACGAGTGGAGGACAGAGGAGCCTCTTAAAGAAGAAGTTACAGGTCTGTGAGAGCCAGAAATCTTGCTTGTTTGTAGGTGACCAAATACTTATTTTCCACCATAATTTGCAAATCAATTCATTAAAAATCCTACAATGTGATTTTCTGGATTTTTTTTCCTCAATTTGTCCGTCATAGTTGACGTGTACCTATAATGAAAATTACAGGCCTCTCTCATCTTTTTAAGTGGGAGAACTTGCACAATTGGTGGCTGACTAAATACTTTTTTCCCCACTGTAGCTGTTTTAAGCCTGGTTTAGTAAGCATTTGCACTCTGTAATATAAAAATGTCCATGATATGGCAGCACTGCAAACAGGTATAAAATAACTGTGCATCGTGCAAAGGTGAGTTAGAGAGAACAGTTTAGCGGGACCAAAAGGGGGATTCCCCCCCTCTCACAAATACAAAATGACAAAGCAACACCAACCAGGTTCATGTAAATAGGGCTGGCAGACCCAAAATAACAAGTTAACCTTTGGAAATGTTCAAATACACACCTGAACATACATCACACACACACACACACACACACACCTCAAGAGACTACCACAGGATGAGTGTGTGAGTCAACGCTTCCCCGCAAACTTCAAACTCTCAGCCACACTGTAGAAAATGCCTCTCAAACTACTGCTCCAACAGATGCTGCTATTTCAGTCCACAACCCACCATAGGAAAAAGCATTTCAATGAGGACATATTACATAGGAAGCAAGATATTTTTTTCATTAAAACTGCTGAGATGGGCGTATCACCTTGAGCATTGCTCTCATGGAAGACTATTGCTCTCATGGAAGACTGTCTTTTATGTGATGCTCCATCGACTCAGTTTGGCAACATAAGAACTAGATACAAGCAACAGCTCCAATTTTCAGAGAAGGACTGTCTTTATTAGTTTCATGCACTGAAAATCACTAAGTGTACTTTCATCAAGACAGACAGTGATGATTCTCGGTAGTGTTAGGTAATATAGACTAGATTATGCTACTGTAGACTAGTGAGTTGATACAGTATTCAGTGCACATGGCTAATCTCTATGGACCATGTCTACCTAAACATTTCATGAGGAACCACAGGGGTTCTGTACCTACCACCAAGCTCTTAAAGGCCACCGTCACCTTCATGATGTCACTGTAGTCCGGGTGGGCCTCCTGCAAGATGGTAAACAAATTATGAACAGTTGAATAATGTATAATTTTATACACAATACCCAATTAAGGTGGATGTACAAAGATATATAACCAAACTACATTAATGCGTTTGGGAGGGATATCAAAACATGGTATATCAATGGTATTTGAGCATTGTAGCGGAGTGTTATCTGGAACAGTGGAGGTGAGTTAAATCTCAGTTGCATATGGATCCATAGATGGGCCTATAGAGAGTTAAGCAACTGCCCTCCATGTTGGTTCCAGATGAGGCCTACTGTACCTCCATGTGTCTCTCCAGCTCCTGCAGCAGGATGGGGTACTTGTCCAGCCTCATGAAGGGTTTACTCAAGCTGGTGGTCAGGGTCAGGATGCCTGGCGTACTGGCCCCCTGGCTCTCCATGAACATACCCAGCTCCTCACTACAACACACACACACACACACACACACACACACACACACACACACACACACACACACACACACACACACACACACACACACACACAGTGTTATACTGCTGGGTGGCCATGTAAAGAGAGAAAACATTCTACCATGGGAAAAAATCTAGATTTGTTGAATGTGTTTGGTAGTGGAGGAAAAAGCTGAAAAGAATCCCACAGTAGGAAAGATGCCAATTAGTTCAGTGTGAAATCGAAAGTGCCTCACCTGCCTGGAACAACATAACCACAACTATAGATATCCTGTGTGCAGCTTCCTGTGTGTGTGTGTGTCATGACTGTGTTCTCTTGTCTATGCAGTGCATGTTATCACATTAACAATTACGCAGCAGGAGACCAGGGAGAAGTAGAAAAAAAACAACACCAGTTGCACAATAGCGTACATGATTAACTGCGTAACTAACATAATAATTACACAACCGCTTGATTCATTGCTCGGTTTCATTACTACTACATTGTGTGTGATGGACAGCACTGTGATTAACTGTTCACAGAGCCTCAGCGCCCGGCTGATTGTAGTGAGGGATATGAGTGAGGAGGCTACAAACTGAAGGTCACTCACTCACAACTGATGAGAAAGACGCCACTCTGCTGCGCCTCTACATTTCCAGAGAAAGTATGACACTTAGTGGGTCAAAGAGAAACTGCAACTACTCTTTCATAGCCTATGGCTATCCACAAAGACATGCCATTTTACTTGCATTATTATACTGACCGACATGTTTAATTGCAATGAAATGTCAATCAAATGCAGATGCAGGTCATGCAGAACTGAGATACCCGTAAGGACTGACCTGTGGTCAGTGAGTACGCAGACAGCCGAGGGGTGACTGGAGCAGTAGGACCGGTACAGCGTCCTGATCTGACCAATCAGGTTGAGGTAGCAGGCAGCCAATCGCTGCTGGCTCTCTGGAACCCTGCAACACACAGAGAGAAGTGGGTGTGTTAGTTACTAGGACAACAGTTGGGTTGTTCCTGTATGTTTGGTTTCAGATTCTATTCTAGATGTTGACCACTAGAGGGAGCACAGTAACCTGAGGCCATCCCATCTAGAGCTTTTTTATTTGATTTATTTAACCTTTATTTAACTAGGCAAGTCAGTTAAGAACAAATTATTATTTACAATGACGGCCTACAGCTACAGGTAACTGCCAAAATAAAGGAAACACCAACATGATAGGGTGCTGGGCCACCACGAGCCGCCAGAACAGCTTCAATGTGCCTTGGCATAGATTCTACAAGTGTCTGGAACTCTATTGGAAGGATGCAACACCATTCTTTGTTGATGGTTGTGAGAAGAAAAAAAACGCTGTCTCATGAACCACTCCAGAATCTCCCATAACTGTTCAATTGGGTTGATATCTGGAGACGGCCCATTGCATATGGTTTACATCCTTTCAATATATTTTTTATCCCTCATTTACTCAAGTGTTTCCATTATTATGTCAGTTACGTGTACATCACAATTATCCCCAGAATATCTGATAGAAACAGCTGAGTAGGCAGAAAGTGTAGTGACACAGATTAGACATTGGGTTAGGGTAATGTGATTGGACCATTTTCAGTTGCCCCCACCCTAGACTGTGTCCTCATTACTCTCCCATACACTTACTTGGTGCACTCGTCCAGAGCAAGAACCAGACCCTGCTGGAAGGTCAGGATCTCCTCCAGGTTACCACTCAGACTGCCACTGTCTGTAATGCTCAGCCTGGACACCACACAGCAGAGAACATAGAATTACAATGAGTAGAACAGATATACAGAACCAGTCAAAAGTTTGGACACACCTACTCATTCAAGGGTTTTTCTTTATTTTTACTATTTTCTACATTGTAGAATAACAGTGAAGACATCAAAACTATGAAATAACACATATGGAATCATGTAGTAACCAAAAAAAGTGTTAAACAAATAAGAATATATTTTATATTTGAGATTCTTCAAAGTAGCCACCCTTTGCCTTGACAGCTTTGCACACTTGGCATTCTCTCAACCAGCTTCATGAGGTAGCCACCTGGATTGCATTACAATTAACAGGTGTGCCTTCTTAAAAGTTAATTTGTGGAATGTCTTTCCTTCTTAATGCGTTTGAGTCAATCAGTTGTGTTGTGACAAGGTAGGGGTGGTATACAGAAGATAGACCTATTTGGTAAAAGACCAAGTCCATATTATGGCAAGAACAGCTCAAATAAGCAAAGAGAAACGACAGTCCATTACTTTAAGATCTAAAAGTCAGTCAATCCGGAAAATGTGTGCAGTCGCAAAAACCATCAAGTGCTATGATGGAACTGGCTCTCATGAGGACCGCCACAGGAAAGGAAGACCCAGAGTTACCTCTGCTGCAGAGGATAAGTTCATTAGAGTTAACTGCACCTCAGATTGCAGCCCAAATAAATGCTTCACAGAGTTCATGTAACAGACACATCTCAACATCAACTGTTCACAGGAGACAGCATGAATCAGGCCTTCATGGTCGAATTGCTGCAAAGAAACCACTACTAAAGGACACCAATAATAAGAAGAGACCTGCTTGGGCAAAGAAACATGAGCAATGGACATTAGACCGGTGGAAATCTGTCCTTTGGTCTGATGAGTCCAAATTTGAGATTTTTGATTCCTTGTGAGACGCAGAGTAGGTGAACGGATGATCTCCGCATGTGTGGTTCCCACCGTGAAGCATGGAGGTGCTTTGCTGGTGACACTGTTTGTGCTTTATTTAGAATTCAAGGCACAGTTAATCAGCATGGCTACCACAGCATTCTGCAGTGATACGCCATCCCATCTGGTTTGCGCTTAGTGGGACTATCATTTGTTTTTCAACAGGACAAAGACCCAAAACACACCTCCAGGCTGTGTAAGGGCTATTTGACCAAGAAGGAGAGTGATGGAGTGCTGCATCAGATGACCTGGCCTCCACAATCACCCGACCTCAACCCAAATGAGATGGCTTGGGATGAGTTGGACCGCAGTGAAAGCAGCCAACAAGTGCTCAGCATATGTGGGAACTCCTTCAAGACTGTTGGAAAAGTATTCCTCATGAAGCTGGTTGAGAGAATGCCAAGAGTGTGCAAAGCTGTCATCAAGGCAAAGGGTGGCTACTTTGAAGAATATAAAATATATTTTGATTTGTTTAACACTTTTTTGGTTACTACATGATTCCATATGTGTTATTTCATAGTTTTGATGTCTTCACTATTATTCTACAATGTAGAAACTTGTAAAAATAAAGAAAAACCCTGGAATGAGTAGGTGTGTCCAAACTTTTGACTGGTACTGTACATATAATTACAATGAGTAGAACAGATATACCCATTAAAAACAACAGCATGGTGCATGGGTCATTCGGAGAGATTCACAATGCCACAAGGCTCTTTAGTAACTGGTATTTCAAAATGTATCTAAACAGTTTGCATCTGAATGAATTGACTCCCATTCTTATTTGTTGAGCTTACTTGTCGCTGGCCTTTAGGGGTCGTAGGTAACAGCTCAACACTGTCTGCAGCTCCTTGACAAACTCCCTCTCATGCTCCAGGATGTCCTGAACCACCTGAGAAAGATCATTTAAATAACCCACATCCTATTCGAGACAGAAATGCTGACACAGCCTAAACTGTTCCCCTAAGCAAAGCTGTAGTGGCCCAGCGCATATGGAGCAGTAGAAAAGGGAGATCCAATGGGAGAGGGCCCACTCACCACACTGTAGTAGCTCTTGGTCAGTTGAGTTGCTTTAGGAGACACAGGTTTATCTGCAGGATATAAGGTAGTAGGGGGTGGAGTTATGGAGCAGCAAACGGCACACAGAATGAGTGGTGGAGTTCTTCTAAGCATAATAATCTAGTCTAGTGTTTGTCCAGCATGGTACCACACACACTCTTTCCCAGCCCTACTCACCACAGGGCTTGACCTCGCGGACATAGTTGCTGGGGAACCAGCCCGTCTTGCCGTTGAGCGAGCCCTCCCACCAACCGCCCTCCTCCTGGCGCAACACACTGATCAGGTCTCCCTTGTTGAAGGACAGCTCATCCTCGTTGTTCTGCTTGAATTGGAAGCGCGCCTTCACCAGCACCAGCCCGCCCCCGCCGTTCTCCGACATCTCCTGGTTGCATAGAATAGTTGTCAGTTACTGACTGGTATACAATCTAACCAATCAGGAAAGTTTGATTTATTATGCATTTATGTCATTTGTGAGCTGAGTGTACAAGCCGTTCAGGACAGGCGTACAGGAGTGTGAATATATTTGTAATTACTGGTTAACAGCACATGCTTCATAAAATGTTCCAAATAGGTCAGTTTCACTGTCAGGGTTTCCCTTTTATAAAAACAGAATGACATACAAACGACTCATGTGACCGAGTATGTATTTGTGTGTGTGTGTGTGTGTGTGTGTGTATGTGCGCGACCTTACCACTGGTTTGGATTGTCTGCGCAGGGACTTGGACCTGGAGGTGGCGTGTGTGTGTGAGGTGGTGGACTGGCTAGGAGCGGGCGTGCCGGAATGGGGACATGACCTCTCAGTGCCACAGTCTGTGGAGGAAAACATACACACACAGACATTTTAAATAGTTCATTATGATCCACCATTACATTTTAGTCATTTAGCAGACGCTCTTATCCAGAGCGACTTACAGTTAGTGACTGCATACATTTTCATACTGCCCCCCCCGTGGGAAACAAACCCACAACCCTAGCATTGCAAGCACCATGCTCTACCAACTGAGCTACAAGGCACCATGTAGCACTGTGATTGCAAAGGACTCTGAGGTAACGGAGGTTATATAGATGTTTGTGAGACTGTCCTTGTCAGTCATGAATACGACCACTTACATAACTTTTTTAATCAAGTACAAAATCACTGTCTCATTTCTACAATTACACTACTCAAAACAGAGGATATGACAGAAATGTCGCTCTCTCTCACACACACACACACACACACACACACACACTTACTTCAGTCGTTAGGTTGAATGGATTTCAGACTGTTGAAGCATTGGGTTGTGCAGTGCTAGCAGCTTGTTGATGATAATGTGTTTCAGTGCAGGCTGTTGGCTCTGCAGAGCCTAGCTGACAGAATCACCTCACATCACCTCAACTAGCACACACTGATCCCAGACCAGCTCAGAGCAGCAATCTAACACAGACAAGCTGAGAAACCTTGATGTATATTATAATTGACCAACATCAATGGCGTAATGACTCATTATACCTCAAATGTGCTCAAGTAAATAGATACTGTGTATGGTAGTTCGAGTTGGACAATAACACTGGCAGGTAGACAAAATCATTTTCAAAGAGCTGCCTAATAAACTCTTCTCAGTATTCTCAGACAGGAGGAAACCCTTGTGGGACTCACAGACGAATACTGAAAAACTACCTGGCAGCAGTCTTGTGAGAGGACTCCCTTGCAGGCACAGTGATGCATCAGCTCCTTTTGACTCACAGAGATAAGACAAACAGCCTTCTAGCCCCAGCAGTACCCACAGAGCTGGGCATGTCTCTACCACAACCTCTTCCAATGCCAGCTGCTAAACCTAAGCCAACAACTTAACTGAACAAAAATATAAAACGCAACTGTAAAGTGTTGGTCCCATGTTTCATGAGTTGAAATAAAAAATCCCAGAAATGTTCTATATGCACAAAAATATTATTTATCTCAAACACTGAGGAGTATTTGTCTGTAATAAAGCCCTTTTGTGGGGAAAAACTCATTCTGATCGGTTGGGCCTGGCTCCCCAGTGGGTGGGCCTATGCCCACCTAGGCCTACCCATGGTTGCACCCTTGCCCAGTCATGTGAAATCCATAGATTAGGGTCTATTGAATTTATTTGTTGTGTGTCCGTGTAAATAGCCCGTTTTTTGTATTTTTCATACATATTTCCCTATCACACTTTTCACCCTTCTACAAAATATACTTTCCTGCAACCCGCCTCACTCAATGTGGAACGGATTCTATTATTGACTTACCTTTTATCTAGAATCTCCAGTTGAAACTAGCTAGCCAGCTAACTAGCTACTTGCCACCGTTAGAGGTTTTCACCCAGAACATCGGATTTTCTGCCGGAATAACTGAATCACTGGATCGCAACTAGCTAGCCGCAACCGAATGGATGTTGCTGTTGGCTAATCACCACTGACCCGAAGCAAGCACCAGCTAGCCTCGAGCCAGGCCCATATCCCGGCTATCTACCTCTGTCTACCGGAAGGGAGTAGCCAGCTAACTAGCTACTTGCTATTAGCCACTGTTAGCGGTTTTTCACCATTGTCCGTGGCCTGCACTACCTACCAGCCAGCTCTAGCCTGGACTATTATCGGCCAGTCTGCACTGACTGCACAGCGCGTTATCGACCCAGAACATATTGGTTTTTCTGCCGGAATCACTGAATCACTGGACCTTTAACACCGGATCATCGCAACTAGCTAGCTGCAACCAAATGGATGTTGTTGTTGGCTAATCAGCCTTGAGCTAGCCTCGAGCCAGGCCCATCTCCCGGCTATCTACCTCTCTGTCAACCGGACTGGACCTCCTAGTGTTGACACGGAGCCCCGCCGACGAAATCGTCTGGATGTGGTTTCAACAGGCTTCCCGTTACGACGTCGACCACGAAAATCCATCTGCTAGCCCCGGCCCGCTAGCACACGCAAGCCGTGGCCTCTTGCTCGCCAGTGCTGTAGCAGCCCCCGAAATACCTCCGAACACTCCTATTGCTGTTCACCGGACCTTATGATACCTCAGCTATACAACTGATGCCTGCTGGACTGTTCCTTTATACGGTACCGCATCCTGTTTATGTTTAGCCTCAGCCCAAACTTTGTCGCCATTACCAGCTGTTGTCTTAGCGCTCTCGAATAACACCTGTGATTGCTTTATGCCTCTCTCCCATGTCAATATGCCTTGCCTATTGCCGTTTCGGTTATTTCTTATTGTACTATTTCACTGTAGATCCCCCAGCCCAGCTCAACCTGCCTAAGACAGCTCCTTTGTCCCACCCCCCACACACGCGGAGACCGACTCAATCGGTGCCTCCAGTGATGCTCTCTCTTTCATCGTTACCCAACGCTTAGGTTTACCTCCACTGTACTCATATCCTTGTCTGTACATAATGCCCTGAATCTATTCTACAACGCCCGGAAATCTGCCCCTTTTTTTCTCTGTACCCAACGCACTAGAAGACCAGTACTTAAAGCCTTTAGCCGTATCCTTATTCTACTCCTCCTCTGGTGATGTAGAGGTTAACCCAGGCCCTGTAGCCCCCAGTATCACTCCTACTCCCCAGGCGTTATCATTTGTTGACTTCTCTAACCGTAAAAAGCCTTGGTTTCTTGCACGTTAACATCCGAAGCCTCCTCCCTAAGTTTGAGTTATTCACTGCGTTAGCACACTCCGCCAACCCTGATGTTCTAGCAGTGTCTGAATCCTGGCTTATGAAGGCCAACAAAAATTCAGAAATGTCCATCCCCAACTACAGCTATTATCTCAGCTTGTTACCTGTATAAAAGACACCTGTCCACAGAAGCAATCAATCAGATTCCGAACTCTCCACCATGGCCAAGACCAAAGAGCTCTCCAAGGATGTCAGGGACAAGATTGTAGACCTACACAAGGCTGGAATGGGCTACAAGACCATCGCCAAGCAGCTTGGTGAGAAGGTGACAACAGTTGGTGCGATTATTCGCAAATGGAAGAAACACTAAAGAACTGTCAATCTCCCTCGGCCTGGGGCTCCATGCAAGATCTCACCTCGTGGAGTTGCAATGATCATGAGGATGGTGAGGAATCAGCCCAGAACTACACGGGAGGATCTTGTCAATGATCTCAAGGCAGCTGGGACCATAGTCACCATGAAAACAATTGGTAACACACTACGCCGTGAAGGACTGAAATCCTGCAGCGCCCGCAAGTTCCCCCTGCTCAAGAAATCACATATACAGGCCTGTCTGAAGTTTGACAATGAACATCTGAATGATTCAGAGGAGAACTGGGTGAAAGTGTTGTGGTCAGATGAGACCAAAATCGAGCTCTTTGGCATCAACTCAACTCGCCGTGTTTGGAGGAGGAGGAATGCTGCCTATGACCCCAAAAACACCATCCCCACTGTCAAACATGGAGGTGGAGGGAGCTGAAGGTTTGAGTTGCCAAATGTCAGCTTCGAAACCTTAATGACTTGGAGAAGATCTGCAAAGAGGAGTGGAAGAAAATCCCTCCTGAGATGTATGCAAACCTGGTGGCCAACTACAAGAAACGTCTGACCTCTGTGATTGCCAACAAGGGTTTTTCCACCAAGTACTAAGTCATGTTTTACAGAGGGGTCAAATAATGATTTCCCTCATTAAAATGCAAATCAACTTATAAAATTTTTGACATGCGTTTTTCTGGATTATTTTGTTGTTATTCTGTCTCTCACTGTTCAAATAAACCTACCATTAAAATTATAGACTGATCATGTCTGTCTTTGTCAGTGGGCAAACGTACCCAATCAGCAGGGGATCAAATACTTTTTTCCCCTCACTGTACAACATTTTCCGTCTCGATAGAACTGCCAAAGGGGGTGGGGTTGCAATCTACTGTAGAGATAGCCTGCAGAGCTCTATCGTACTATCCAGGTCTGTGCCCAAACAGTTTGAGCTTCTACTTCTAAAAGTCCACCTTTCCAGAAATAAGTCTCTCACTGTTGCCGCTTGCTACAGAACCCCCTCAGCCCCGAGCTGTGCCCTGGACACCATATGTGAACTGATTGCCCCCCATCTATCCTCAGAGTTCGTACTGCTTGGTGACCTAAACTGGGATATGCTTAACACCCCGGCCAACCTACAATCTAAACTAGATGCCCTCAATCTCACAAAAATTATCAACGAACCTACCAGGTACAACCCTAAATCTGTAAACATGGGCACCCTCATAGATATCATCCTGACAAATGTACCCTCTAAATACACCTCTGCTGTCTTCAACCAGGATCTCAGCAATCACTGCCTTATTGCCTGCGTCCGTAATGGGTCCGCGGTCAAACGCTCCCTAAAACACTTTAGCGACCAGGCATTTCTAATTGACCTACCCCGGGTATCCTGGATGGATATTGACCTCATTCCGTCAGTAGAGGATGCCTGGTTGTTCTTTAAAAGGGCTTTCCTCTCAATCTTAAATAAGCATGCCCCATTCAAAAATTCAGAACTAAGAACAGATATAGGCCCTGGTTCTCCTCAGACTTGACTGCCCTTGACCAGCACAAAAACATCCTGTGGCGTACTGCATTAGCATCGAACAGCCCCCGCGATATGCAACTTTTCAGGAAAGTCAGGAACCAATATACACAATCAGTTAGGAATGCAAAGGCTAGCTTTTTCAAACAGAAATTTGCATCCTGTAGCACTAACTCCAAAAAGTTTTGGGACACTGTAAAGTCCATGGAGAATAAGAGCACCTCCTCCCAACTGCCCACTGCACTGAGGCTAGGAAACACTGTCACCACCGATAAATCTACAGTAATCGAGAATTTCAACAAGCATTTTGCTACGGCTGGCCATGCTTTCCACCTGGCTACCCCTACCCCGGCCACCAGCTCAGCACCCTCCGCTGCAACTTGCCCGACTGTGTCAACCACCACATTCTTATTGGCAGACTAAATAGCCTTGGTTTCTCTAATGACCGCCTCGCCTGGTTCACCAACTACTTCTCAGATAGAGTTCAATGTGTCAAATCGGAGGGCCTGTTGTCTGGACCTCTGGCCGTCTCTATGGGGGTGCCACAGGGTTCAATTCTTGGGCCGACTCTATTCTCTGTGTATATCAATGATGTCGCTCTTGCTGCTGGTGACGCTCGGATCCACTTCTATGTGGACAACACCATTTTGTATACATCTGGCCCTTCATTGGACACTGTGTTAACAAACCTCCAAACGAGCTTCAACGCCATACAACACTCCTTCCGTAGCCTCCAACTGCTCTTAAACACTAGTAAATCTAAATGCATGCTCTTCAACCGAACGCTGCTTGCACCCGCCCACCCGACTAGAATCACTACTCTCGACGGGTCTGACCTAGAGTATGCGGACAACTACAAATACCTAGGTGTCTGGTTAGACTGTAAACTCTCCTTCCAGACTCACATTAAGCATCTCCAATCAAAATTAAATCGGCTTCCTATTTCGCAACAAAGCCTCCTTCACTCATGCTGCCAAACATGCCCTCGTAAAACTGACTATCCTACCGATCCTTGACTTCATCCGTTTTGTCACCAAAGCCCCATATACTACCCACCATTGTGACCTGTACGCTCGTTGGCTGGCCCTCACTACATATTCGTCGCCAAACCCACTGACTCCAGGTCATCTATAAATCACTGCTAGGCAAATCCCTGTCTTATCTTAGCTCACTGGTCACCATAGCAACACCCACCCGTAGTATGCGCTCCAGCAGGTATATCTCACTGGTCATCCCCAAAGCCAACATCTCCTTTGGCCGCCATTCCTTCCAGTTCTCTGCTGCCAGTGACTGGAACGAACTGCAAAAATCTCTGAAGCTGGAGACTCTTATCCCACTCACTAACTTTAAGCGTCAGTTGTCAGAGCAGCTTACCAATCACTGCACCTGTACACAGCCATTCTGAAATTAGCCCACCCAACTAACTCATCCCCAATTGTTATTTATTTAGCTAATTTGCACCCCAGTATCTCTATTTGCACGTCATCTTTTGCACATCTATCATTCCAGTGTTAATACGAAATTGTAACTATTTTGCACTATGGCCTATTTATTGCCTTACCTCCATAACTTACTACATTCGCACACACTGTATATATATTTTCTGTTGTATTTTTTACTTTGTTTTGTTTAACCCATATGTAACTCTGTGTTGTTGTTTTTATCGCACTGCTTTGCTTTATCTTGGCCAGGTCGCAGTTGTAAATGAGAACTTGTTCTCAACTGGCTTACCTGGTTAAATAAAAAGGTGGGGAGAAGAAAAAAAACAAAGATTTTTTTTTTTTTGATTTACTGATTTCCTTATATGAACTGTAACTCAGTAAAATCTTTGAAGTTGTTGCATTCTGCATTTATATTTTTGTTCAGTATATGTGGACCCATAGCCATCCTTTACAACTGAGCCAACACAGTATTAGATCAATACTTGGATCGATGTTGGGAGGTGACAGCGAATACTTTCTAAATGAGCCAACACATGACTTTACATGATACCTGTGCATGCTTGTCGGCTGGTACCGAGTCTAAATCCACTTTCCAAGGAGGGAAAGTGTCCCGAAGTAAGACCTTTATTTAATCTCACCAAGCTATTTATACATGTTTTGATAGAGAACCAACCATATGGAAGGCAGGATTAGCTAGATATTATAATGAGAATTGATCAAGAGAGATTGGCAGAGGTATTGCTAGTGTCTGGAAATTACTGGGGGAAAAAGCACCAGGATCATGTTTTTATTCAACCTTTTAGACCTGAGAATACATATTTTCCATGTAGGCTACAAGAAAGCCGTGTCCAAATATAGAATGACAGGTGTGCCTTGGGGGTTCGGAGTTCTCCTTTAACAATTGGAGGGCACTCCATTCATACAGTTGAAGTCGGAAGTTTACATACACCTTAGCCAAATACATTTAAACTCAGTTTTTCACAATTCCTAACATTTCATCCTAGTTTAAATTCCCTGTCTTAGGGCAGTTAGGATCACCACTTTTTTTTAAGAATGTGAAATGTCAGAATAATAGTAGAGGGAATGATTTATTTCCGCTTTTATTTATTTCATCACATTCCCAGTGGGTCAGAAGTTTACATACACTCAATTAGTATTTGGTAGCATTGCCTTTAAATTGTTTACCTTGGGTCAAACGTTTTGGGTAGCCTTCCACAAGCTTCCCACAATAAGTTGGATGAATTTTGGCCCATTCCTTCTGACAGAGCTGGTGTAACTGAGTCAGGTTTGTAGGCCTCCTTGCTTGCACACGCCTTTTCAGTTCTGCCCACATATTTTCTATAGGATTGAGGTTAGGGCTTTGTGATGGCCACTCCAATACCTTGACTTAAGCCATTTTGCCACAGCTTTGGAAGTATGCTTGGGGTCATTGTTCATTTGGAAGACCCATTTGCGACCAAGCTTTAACTTCCTGACTGATGTCTTGAGATGTTGCTTCAATATATCCACATAATTTTCCTTCCTCATAATGCCATCTATTTTGTGAAGTGCACCAGTCCCTCCTGCAGCAAAGAACCCCCACAGCATGATGCTGCCACCCCCGTGCTTCACGGTTTGGATGGTGTTCTTCAGCTTGCAAGCAACCCCCTTTTTCCTCCAAACATAACGATGGTCATTATGGCCAAAAAGTTATATTTGTGTTTATCTTTGTCTATCTTTGTCCCCATGTGCAGTTGCAAACTGTAGTCTGGCTTTTTTATGGCGGTTTTGGAGCAGTGGCTTCTTCCTTGCTGAGCGGCCTTTCAGGTTATGTCGATATAGGACTCGTTTTGCTGTGGATATAGATACTTTTGTACCGGTTTCCTCCAGCATCTTCACAAGGTCCTTTGCTGTTGTTCTGGGATTGATTTGCACTTTTCGCACCAAAGTACGTTCATCTCTAGGAGACAGAACGCATCTCCTTCCTGAGCGGTATGACGGCTGCGTGGTCCCATGGTGTTTATACTTGCGTACTATTGTTTGTACAGATGAACGTGACACCTTCAGGCGTTTGGAAATTGCTCCGAAGGATGGACCAGACTTGTGGAGGTCTCCAATTCTTTTTCTGAGGTCTTGGCTGATTTCTTTTGATTTTTCCATGATGTCAAGCAAAGAGGCACTGAGTTTGAAGGTAGGCCTTGAAATACATCCACAGGTACACCTCCAATTGACTCAAATTATGTCAATTAGCCTATCAGAAGCTTCTAAAGCCATTACATCATTTTCAGGAATTTTCCAAGCTGTTTAAAAAGGCACAGTCAACTTAGTGTACGTAAACTTCTGACCCACTGGAATTGTGATACAGTGAATTAATCTGTCTGTAAACAATTGGAAAAATTACTTGTGTCATGCACAAAGTAGATGTCCTAACCGTCTTGCCAAAACTATAGTTTGTTAACAATAAATGTGTGAAGTTGTTGAAAAACAAGTTTTAATGACTCCAACGTAAGTGTATGTAAATTTCCGACTTCAACTGTATATCCATATTGGTGCAGCCAACTATTTCTAGAGCACCGCCAAGAGTCAATGCCAACCTTGAGATCACCCTCATTCCCAATCACTTTACAACTGCAGATGGGACAAATGAGCGAAAACGGCAGGCCAGTATAGTAAAGTGCTTATATTTCTCTTAGCGGTAAGGTGGTTCTCATGTACTCCACATCTCTTTACACATGCAGTGAGATGCCCAGACAAGCCCTGTACTGTAGTCAGCAGCTCCCTCCTCTTGACCTGGCCATCAATGCTTCTAGCAGCTGCACTGTCGGAACGTGCACACAATCACACAGAGAGAGAGAGACACACAAAGAAACAGATAGACACACACACACACAGTACTGAGGATCATGATAAGCAGAAACACAGAGATAATCCTCTTCTTGTACCCATTAAAGAGCGTGTGACTAACCCAGTCCAAATCAACAGCACTAGACATTTTGAAGATTGGCAAAGGGCCTCTGGCCCTCTCAGACTCTATTCGATTTCCATATCAAGCTGAGAGAGCGAGCGAGAAATTCTGGTCCAATCTTCATGCTGTGGCCTGTAGCATCGACGCTCTCTGATGAGGACTGGCGCTAAGACAACTTCAAACTGATAACGAGACTAATGGATACAGTCAAGTGATGGCTTTGAAGACATTGACAGCTTTTGGAATTAGCAGCAAAAGCTTTGCGCTAGCAAAAATACACAAACAGTGTATGGACTGGAGTGACTGTGTCAGGTTGCCATTTAGCACGTGAATGTCTTATAGCCTTGCTGCACTGTTGCTTTGACATGAGATCCCATTTCATCATATTGATAATGAGCTATCTGCCATGTAAATTCCCCTTTTACAACTGTCTTATTCAAGCACAGCCAGGTGTCTTCTAATGCAATGTTACAGAAAAGAGAAAGGCCTGTTCAGTAGGACATGAGAGCCATGGTAATCATCATAGTAAATATGGCACTCTGCAGGAGGCCCATAGAACCAGAGAGACACAGCCATGGTAAACATCATAGTAAATATGGCACTCTGCAGGAGGCCCATAGAAACAGAGACACAGCCATGCCAGCTGTCTGAACAGGGCACCTTTTATGATTCACGAGGCCTACTGGGAGCAATCCAGCTAAAAATGACACACGCATGTTCAGTTCACACACACACACACAGACAGTATTTTAAACGACAATGCTGAATGTGGTCATTCTGAGTCTCAGCACTGCACAGTTGACACACTAATACGTAGCTGTACAATGCTTCAGTTTTCTACTAGAGCTTACAGTGTGAGGACAGGTTAGTTATGTAAACGTAGCATACATGTCAATGATTACAATATTGCATGATAATGAAGGCAGGTGAGTAAATATTATTTGTGCCTAAACCTTAAGCCCATTATGGTCTTATTCAGTGGGGTACAACTTTTACAACCATAACTATAGAAATATAGAGATAATGTGTAGAGTAGGAATGTCTGTTTTACACAGTGCATTTCTATCCGACTGTTTTGTGGCTCTGCATCCTCCTGAATAAGACCCAGAGCAGATAAATACAGTCATTAGACTTACCTTGGGTGGCGAAGTTGACTCCCAGCAGAGTGGTCAGCACTTTGTTAAAGTTCTCCCCAGTGTACAGGCACTCTGGTTCAAATCCCTGGCAGGAGAGGAGACCGACAAAGAAGAACCGTTCAATTCAAAAGCAAAATGCCTGGCTCATCATATGACTGACTAAAAACAGCAGAGGAAAAGAAGTAGGTATAAAATAATTAGCAACAGAGATGTAGGAGATACTGCCTGGCTGATTATCACACAGAATCCTGACTGCAGCCCGGCAACAACACGCAATGGGATGTGACTTACACACAAGAAGACGGAGATAAAAGCAGACATGTTGAATGTGACCCATATTTTTCGTGGCCAAGTGGTTTTGGTAACAAAACAGACTGTTCTCTCCTCATTTGTCCTTCGATGCACACCGAGCACTTGCTCGCTCGCTCTCTGTCTCCCGGCCCCACAGACAGCTAGCTATCCACTTTCCTCTAGCGGCTAAGGTTTCACATTTTAAATAAAACATCTTAAATATAGAGTTTGAGTAGCAGGGCACGAGGCATCTGTTCACTATCTAGCCATTCAGAGCCAAAGCGACCGTGACTGACTCATGCATAGGCCACGCTTCAGCTTTGAAAAGACCATCACAATACATTTACCTCTCTGGTAACCATGTCAAGACGACAGACTGAGGCAGTGTGTGATATTGACATGTATCAATCTGTTGCTTGTTCATTTTTGACAACAACATCTACAGAGAAATAAAGCATGGATAAAAACACTAAAACAGTGACATAAAAGTTAAACAATCTGACATCTAAAGCTAACATATGACAGGAATCAAACTTGTGGGCCTGGTTAGTATGTGACGCAGACTTTATAACTGTATCTTACTGTAGATGTCTATAAAAATAATAATACTATAGGCTCAGGCTCTATAAATTCAACTATACTGTAGTCGACCATAACTCGTCAAGTTAGCCCTCAAGCCATCGCTGCTGCTTCCCATTTCTGCATCTCGGAACAGAAGTGAAAGTTGTGTGAATGTAGTATTTGTCCAGTCACATGACAGCCCCATGTGCATATGTTGGCTGTGGTTAAGAAAAATGGAGTGAGAGAGGGTGACTGGCCAGAGTATGAACTGCAATGGTCCGGAAAAAGTCAAGATGACACATTGTACAAGGGGCTTTCCAAATCCTTACGGACGTGAGCTCCTGCACTGCCGCAAAGCCTCTAATTATGGAGGAGAAGTGCGATCGCTGCATGAAAGCAGAAGGGACCTCCCAAACCATAACAGACCAGCCAGCGTTTCTCCCCCCGAACCACTTGACTTGAAGCAGCTGACTCAATTACTTTTTTAAAAAAATAAACAAACCAACTTATGTGATTCAAGACCAGAAAGGACTGTTTCTAAAGGTTGGGGAGGAAAATGCATGACTGACTGTCCAGCGCAGCAGTCACTGTACTGCATAGGAAAGGAAAGGACTTCCATCACTCTTATTATCTGCATCATCACTCATAGTGCTGGAAATATGTTATTAAGCCTGAGGGAGAGAATCCTTTACTGTGGTTTCTGCTGAATATGCTATAATAAATGCAGACATACAGTGCATTCAGAAAGTATTCAGGCCCCTTCACTTTTTCCACGTTGTTACGTTACAGCCTTATTCTAAAATTGATTAAATTGTTGTTTTTTGCCTCATCAATCTATACACAATACCCCATAATGACAAATCAAAAATAGGTTTTTAGAAATCTATTAAAAATAAAAACAACTGATATATCACATTTACATAAGTATTTAGTCCCTTTACTTAGTACTTTGTTGAAGCACCTTTGGCAGCGATTACAGCCTCGAGTCTTCTTGGGTATGACGCTACAAGCTTGGCACACCTGTATTTGGGAAGTTTCTCCCATTCTTCTCTGCAGATCCTCTCAAGCTCTGTCAGGTTGGATGGGGAGCGTCGCTGCACAGCTATTTTCAGGTCTCTCCAGAGATGTTCGATCGGGTTCATGTCTGGGCTCTGGCTGGGCCACTCAAGGACATTCAGAGACTTGTCTCGAAGCCACTCCTGCAATGTCTTGGCTGTGTGCTTAGGATCGTTGTCCTGTTGGAAGGTGAACCCAGTCTGAGGTCCTGAGTGCTCTGGAGCAGGTTTTCATCAAGGATCTCTCTGCACTTTGCTCCGTTCATCTTTCCATCGATCCTGACTAGTCTCCCAGTCCCTGCAACTGAAAAACATCTCCACAACATCATGCTGCCACCACCATGCTTAACCGTAGGGATGGTGCCAGGTTTCCTCCAGACATTACGCTTGGCATTCAGGCCAAAGAGTTCAATCTTGGTTTCATCAGACCAGAGAATCTTGTTTCTCATGGTCTGAGAGTCTTTAGGTGCCTTTTGGCAAACTCCAAGCAGGCTGTCATGTACCTTTTACTGAGGAGTGGCTTCCGTTTGGCCACTCTACCATAAAGGCCTGATTGGTGGAGTGCTGCAGAGATGGTTGTCCTTCTGGAAGGTTCTCCCATATCCACAGAGGAACTCTGGAGCTCTGTCAGAGTGACTATCGGGTTCTTGGTCACCTCCCTGACCAAGGCTCTTCTCCCCCGATTGCTCAATTTGGACGGGCGGCCAGCTCTAGGAAGAGTCTTGGTGGTTTCAAACTTCTTCCATTTAAGAATGATGGAGGCCACTGTTCTTGGGGATATTCAATGCTGCAGAGATTTTTGGGTACCTTTCCCCAGATCTGTGCCTCAACACAATCCTGTCTCGGAGCTCTATGGACAATTCCTTCCACCTCATGGCTTGGTTTTTGCTCTGACATGCACTGTCAACTGTGGGAGCTTATATAGACAGGTGTATGCCTTTCCAAATCATGTTCAATCAAGTTGTAGAAACATCTCAAGGATGATCTATGGAAACAGGATGCACCTGAGCTCAATTTCGAATCAAAAATACTGTTTTCGCTTTGTCATTATGGGGTTTTGTTTGTAGATTGATGAGGAAAATGTTTAATTTAATCAATTTTAGAATAAGGCTGTAACGTAACAAAATGTGAAAAAAGTCAAGGGGTCTGAATACTTTCCGAATGCACTGTAAATATCAATGTCACGTGGCTGACGTGGGGTTAATTTTCGCTTGCAAAAAAGGTAGGGAGAACAGGTAGATTTCCTATTGCTGTTTACCAAGCAATGTGATGCATACTGCTCAATGCACACTGCTCAATCAGTAGTAGACAGTGGAGCCTTATGCAGCGTTCAAGTGCTAGTCAGAACTAGGAGACTGAAATGTCCGACTTGCTAACTAGTTGTAGTTATACACGTGCCACATTCAACCAGTCTGACATTTTCGAGTTTACTAGTTCCGACTAGTACTTGAACGCGGCATTATTCAAGCCATAAGCAGTCTTAGTTGAGGCCCATCAACAACCCCGTCTGTCTGTGTGTTCTGTGGGATTGACTGACAGCATGCCTGCTTAAGAGGGCAACCCACTCCTCATGGCAATCAAGATCCATGTCACAAAAACATACTGCCTGCAGAGGAAAACAATCTATGGTGAAGTCACAGCAAAACAATTCTAGGAAAGTTAAGATTTTGTTGACTGAAACCTGTGTTGACTTTATTGCCACAATCATGCAGTATTATTTTCTAATCACGGCTTCGAATTGCTCAGCTGACAGATATGTACATCGTGGAGTTGAGAATTCTCAGCTATGAGACCAGTTCTCAAATAAGTAAACCCTTACTGCAATGTATTATTGTTGTTTGTACGAAACGGTTTACTAAAGCTAGAAACAAGAATTCAGCAAGGAACTCAAGTCAAAATGTCCACAACAAACACATTATCATAAAACAAAGCAAAACATTGCAATATAGAAGAGATGAAACGATCACCACCAACCAAGCGCTTTGAAATGACTTACCTCTACTTTCAAGGATGTGCATCCTCTCAAAAACTCATTGATATTGGCGATGCAGTCGGCTTCGTTTCTCGGATCCTGACAGTACTAAAAACAGACATAAAATAAATATATAAAAATATAGCCTACCTTGGAGATATAGATAACGTTTTAAAAAAAATTAAATACTAGTATAGGCGTTGACGCAAATGACAATTCAAGATAGGAAAATAAACTAAGTCACAATCCACTGTATCCTTTCGAATGTTGATATCTTACAGTTTAACAAAGTAAAGGTGGACTCTTCCGACGCCTCTCTTTCAAGCATATTGTGTCGCTTTCAAGACAACTGGGAACTCGGAAATCTTTCAATCGAACTTCCGTGCGTTCCCGACAACTGGGAACTCGGAAAAACGAGCCCTGACTGGGATTTTTTTTTGCTTTGAATGGTCATCCGACTCGCATCTTCCTAGAGCTCTGACTTTTCGATCTAAATATCACTGACGTCACGATTTGACTATATTTTTTCCCTCCCGAGTTCCCAGTTGTCTTGAACGCAGCAATAAACCCACCACTCGCACTCGCACCAGGAAGCAAACCTTTGAGGAGGAAGTGACGATGACCTCTCGCTGCATTTCATTTATACACACAGATTATCCATTATATTGAACAGATACTGAGGTGGCCGCTCTAACGATGAAAATAAATATCTTTAAAAATGGAAGGTAATTGGGAGGAGGCAAGATCAGGTGGGACCATTCTAGCCAATGAGAGGGCAGATACGTGCGTGAACAACAGGCACAACGCCGATATAAAGTGTTTTTTTCTTAGAGTTGCGGGGATGTACACTCGTAACAACATTTTATTCTACCAAATAAGCAGCACGTAGTAAATAAGCATTACATTTTTTTATTGACCAAATTCGACACTCATTGACCGCCATACAAAAACTCCTCGCTTGGTGAGCGAAAAAAACTAAACCAAAACGTCACCTGCTGGGGAAACCAGATTTTGGGCCCAGTTATACCTGTTGCTTCGCCTCTTCCTCTCGGATATATCTCAAATGAGGGGAATCGATTAATCTGGGACGTCACTAGTTACCACAAACACAAAGTCATAAACCCCGCCTATTTGTACAATTTATTTTCGTAAAATGTGATTTTAAACCTAACCTTAACCACACAGATAACATTATGCCTAACCTTAAACAAAGACCAACATGCGTATTTATGTTTTCGAATGATTTTTTAAAACGATTTAGCCAATTTTGAGTTTGTGGCTGTGGTAAATAGTGGAAACCATCAATTAAATCAAATGTGTTTATAAAGCCCTTTTTACATCAGCAGATGTCACAAAATGCAATACAGAAACCCAGCCTAAAACCCCAAACAGCAAGCAATGCAGATGTTGGAGCACCGTGGCTAGGAAAAACCAGGCTCTGAAGGGTGGCCAGTCCTCTTCTGGCTGTGCCGGGTGGAGATTATAAGAGTACATGGCCAATCTGGCCCGGCCGCCCGGGTAGGGGTGTTTTGCACTGGGTGAAAGTTGATTGCATTCGTTTTGGAACCGGGCTGCCTCCCGGGCGTGAGCCAGGTGCCCCGTTCAAAGCCGAAGTCGGAACCTAAACAACAGTGACCTAATTAAGCACGTGGTGTAATGAGTAGGATTCTTTTCGCATGTAAAAGTGATTGCTTTTATGTTAAAGTATATATGTTTCTGGACCATTCACCACGCTGCCTTGTTGACAATATGACCGAACCGCGCAGATAACCGTTCGATTTGAGAAAGGCGCTCCTCCTTCACAGCTTTTCCCAGTTCACTTCATAGACCGGTGCCCCGCGGCTCAGCCTAATCGAATGTGATGGCAAACATTTTTTTTTTAATAGTCAGTGACAAACATCAGTTTTAAATTGGATAGCCTACAATTAATTTGGAAGAGAGACTATTTATTGCCGTAACTCCATAACTTGCTACATTTGCACACACTGTATATATATTTTCTATTTTTCTGTTGTATTTTTGACTTTATGTTTTGTTTTACCCAATATGTAACTCTGTGTTTTTTTTTTTATCGCACTGCTTTGCTTTATCTTGGCCAGGTCGCAGTTGTAAATGAGAACTTGTTCTCAACTGGCTTACCTGGTTAAATAAAGGTGAAATTTAAAAAATTTAAAAATCCGCCTAATGTAGCCTGTTAAATTGTGTTCCTTTGTTTTACAGCTGGGATTCAGCTGATCTGTACAAAATACATTCTGGTACAGTCTGGTACCCGAAGTGTAAAAAAATCTACCTGCTAAAAATGCACAGGTTTTGTATAGTATAATGTGCATTAACCTGAATATATAAGCATCTTTGGTTACATAATTATCTTTGTGTTTTGGAACATTATAGTTTGCTAAACTGAGTTGTTTAGTCATTTTCAAAACGCAGAAACACTTTTCACTTCACAGGAAGTAAGCAATGCATGCAAACCTATGAGTTCAGCAGTCTTTTACATTATTGATACATTTCTCATCGTAAAGTTGCATGTTGCACATTAATGTATTCCCAACGTGTTTAACAAATTAGACTATTGAAGTCACATTCAATTTCTCCAACGAATATTGGTAATTTATTCAAACAACCCCTCCCTTGCCCTCGAGAGGCGTTGCCAGTGTTTTTTCTTCTCACCGTTCAAGAGAGTTGTTGACTTTGTAAATATTAATTTTCTCCTCCGTTATCATACTGTTACAATGTCGCACTGATAATAGCGCAGTAACAATGTGCTTACCTTTGGAATAGAGCCGGGCACGAGCCGCTCCATGAGTTTGCACAAGACGACCCCATCTTTCAGAGAGATTTTCAGAAATTCCTCTGGGTCAGCTATGTTCTTCTTGGGTGAATTAAGCACCCCTAACGATATCAGCCACGTTACTGTCTGCTCCTCTGGGTTCATGGTTCCAATTAACCCTCCTTATGCATCCCCACCGAAGGCGCCAAATTCCACAACTCCGTATCAAAATGTTAACATCCGTATCACACTTCTGCTTGTCAAAACGCCGTTTGTACTAGTACTGGGTTCCCCTACTGGTTAATAACAAGCACTGTGGCAATACCTATATATCGATGAAGGGGGTTACCATCCTATGGAATCATTTATCGTCTGTCCACACGAGACATTGGCGGTGAATTCTGAGCTATGGTTGAGTGTTTTGTGCCTCCAATTCCACTGCAATAACATCAGGAAACAGACAAATCATGTTATCTGATGGGCGTCACCATATTTGGCAAGGGACACATTCCATAGTCAATAGATTGCTGTAGGAAATGGCGACCACAATAGTGGCTCAGCAAACAGAACGGAATCTGCATTAAAATTATTGTCCAACATCTCCATGGACTCCCAAAACTCCAGGAATAAAGTTATTTTGCTTTTGGGGACCATATAATCTCTAACCACTCAGTGGCTAACCATCTCTGTTCAGGACAGTCTGCAAATGACACCTCTGCAAATGACAAACAAAAATCTAAATGACAAACACAAAATTCCAAGTAAAACATTTTTATTGGCGAAAAGAGATAGTATGAGTTCTCAAGTATTATTTCTCAGCCAGAGTTCTGTCCATGCATCCGCTCGCCACTCTTGGTTCTACTTGTAGCGGTGCCATCACATGCTCAACACAGGTACCTGGAACAGTGAAGCAAATACACCGTCTATTAAGAAAAGTTTTAAAATGTTACATATAGCTATCCATATTCAAATATGTTCACAAGTTATTAACTCTTGATCACTGAATTGGTGGTGGTCTGCTGGACATACACGTTCGGTTCTCTGTGCGATGGTCCAACGTCAACTTGGATCCAACAGGAAGGCTTTAAATCAGCAATAGTTCCAGAAGTTTGCTCATCCTGTAACAAGAAAATATAAATTAATGTCCCGCCATTTCTTTTAGATTACATAAAATAATTGGTATACCCCAATCCTCCAGTATCCCCTTCAAATAAGGCAATGGTCCGATTTGGTTCTCGCTCCCATTCACTTTCCAGCTTGGTTGTTAGGACATGGCTGCTCTTCCGAGTGGTCTCCATTTTTGAGAATTGGGACAAGCTTGACATTTGAGACAAGCTTCATCTTTGACTATGGCACTTAGAAAAATAAAATGAAATCCACTGTACACAAAAACATGTAAGATTCCTTATTATGAACATTGCCCCTCAGTAAAAAAAAAAGTAATTGCCAAACATTTTGGGGGATGAGTAAAAAAAAAAAATAATCCGGCAAAGGTGATCTCCTTTTGTGATTCTGCGCATTGTTGAGAAGTTAGATGTTGACCCGTAAAATAGGTTTGGTGGCAAATTCGTTATTTATCAAGCCAGATATAATTCCTTAAGTTGCAGCAATTAAAATTTGGTAGACGAAAGACTATACTTTTTTAAAAAAAAGCTACTTCAATTGAACTACGCTGATTCGTTTAATTCCCTGGGGCATCCAGTCTTCCACACTAACCATTTGGGCAGACTGCAATTCACGGTAATGAGAAATTCATTTAACAGACGAGAAACAAATAGGTTTGCTTTGCTTACCAGCTGTTGACACTATCAGTCGGGTTGAAAAGACTCTTGCGTTTGGTTGTTGGTCTTTGGTAAGGTCGTTGCAAGCCAGCATTGTTTGGCTTTATGGCGATGGCTCCATTTCCACTGAGGGAAACCTACACTGATATTGACATTTGCGTTGTCCTCCGACAACTGGTTGGACAATGCAAAGTACAGGCCTGTTAAATGTAATCTACAAGCGTCACAGTTGAAATGTCTGCATCTCAATTGATCTCTATAGTGGACAGAACTTGTAGCTGTGCGCTGGGTGTGCATTCATGTAATAGTTTGTCTGAACATCCATTAGTGTTGCGAAAATAACTTTGGTTAAAAACTTTATTAGTATAGGAAAGCCATATCCAAGGGCATAGCAGGACTTAACAGCACTAAATGTACGAAAACTAAACACGCATCACTTGGCAATGATACCATCACATGGGCTGGGGAAATATAAAACAAGTAATTTTAACACTTAAAACAAAAATTAATTGACAGGCTGAGGATAAACATCTCAAAACCTAAGCTTGTCCATGGAATTTGACATCACTAGTTCTCGCCCTCTCCAACTTTCCACCCACTATACAAGTAGTGATTGAGCACGCATTATGTAACGGTCGCTTTGATGTCATATCCAAGTCCATCTCAGTATCTGCTGCGGGCAATTCCTCTATCGACTCTTGAGCCTCCGCGGCCACCACGGGGCGCCCCGCGACTTGAGCCACTGTACGCGTCACGAGGAGGGTAGCCTCTCTCGATTGGGGGTGCTGGCCCCCGCTCCTGCCTGCCCATTCGCTCACCACGGCTAGGGGGGTATGGGTCACTCCGACTGCTGGGGTAACTTTCACGACTGCCATAGCCATCCCGGGAACTGCTGCCATAGTCGTCATAGCGACTGCTTCCGCCACTGCCATTGTAGGATGGTTGGGGGGCCCTTGAGGGTGGGGCGCTGCGTGAGTTACCTGCAGGGTCAATGGGTCAGGTAATTGGCAAGTTTCACTTCACACATTTTGCTGAATTATGAGCCAATGTTTCCCGTGAGTATTTCTTAATGACTATCAATTGCAACTATATGTTTTTATCTCCAATATGCTAGGGATCTGAACATAACACTGAACATTTAGGTGCTTTCTGCGATTATTTATCCAAGCTTGGGGGAACATAAAATACGCAATGAAACCCCTTTCAGCATGCCATGGTTTTGTTGAGTAGCTGCTTTTTCCTTTTAGAATTCCAGTTGTTAGAATCGCACATTGGTAACAGTTTCTCAGTGAGGTCTTGATGGTTTTGTGAGGGTCGTTTCACCCTACAAAAACAGATTTATGAGCATGACTCCTTGAGGGAGTATTTTGTGACACTGTAGAATGATCATTGAATGGTTAAGAGGCTTTGTTGGACGTTTCCATCGACTCTTGTGGTGCATGTAAGGTCTCCAGCTCCCAGGGGCACATTGAGTAGGTTGTGGGAGACTATAGCAACTTTTCTCCATTATACTTAAGTGGTCAATCTTACCGTAACCACCATAGGGCTCTCGATAGGCGGCTGCACTAGGGCGCTCCATATAGCTTTTAGGTTCCCGGCCTCCACCATAACGCTCACTGGTGAAAGAAATGGAATGGTGTAACGTTACATCATATTCATGTCAACGGAAACCTAACCCAATCTTTAGAGTCACAAGTCATAAATATACCTGTAGCCCCTGGACATTGACCCATACTCATCGCGGGAACTGGATTGGGGATAATCCCTTGGTGGTGGTGCATAGTCCCTTGTATCCCTGGAACTTGTATATTCCCGGCTAGAATAGCTGTCAAAATGGGAAAACATGCCACTTGAGTAAATAAGCAATGCAACAAATTTCAAAAAGTAACATTAAGAATGTGTGACCAACCACAAACGGGTAGTAATATATTTGTTGAATGGGCAAACCCACCTGTCCTTTGTGCTGTAATATTCATCCCTTGGTGATGGGTAATCATCCCTTCTGGACATCGAATCTCTGCGGGGAGGGGGTGGGCCGTAGGGGTCCCTGTCCCTGGACATGGGAGCTAAAGAAAACAAGATCCTGTGTAATCATCAGGAGAACAGAAGTCTTTGTGGCACTACATGGTTAGTCAGTCCTCATACCAATAAGTTCAAGAGAGATCTTCACACTTACGTCTACCCATAGGAGAAGGAGCGTGTCTCTTGGGTGGGGGGCCTCCATTACGAATCGGAGGTCCTCTCTTCAGTGGTGGGGGTCCTCTGGATGAAATCCCTTTGAAAAAGGGTTCTACAATCCCTATGTTATCATAGTAGTCTTTTGGCAGACAAGAAATGCAAATATTAATGGCAAGCTCAGCACTCACAAAACAATGTGAAAAAGTCAATTCAAAAGACACCAATGACCAGTTTCATAGGCTACGTACATATCCCAATGTAAGTGGTTTTTCAATAAGACTATTCATAAATTCCAAATACAACAACTGCTGTGAGTACTTCTGCAAAGGTACCTCTGGATGGTGGACCCCTCATTCCGCTTGGTGCTCCTCTAGATCCTCGAGGGCCTCTAGGGGGACCACGGCTGCGTGGATGCATGGGTGGTGGGCCGCGTCCAAACGTAGGTTTCGTAGCTTGTTCAACCTTGATTGGCTTACCATCAAGCGACTTTTAAAAGAGATTTTAGTGAACATTAGAAGTGTACACAAGCTACAGACGCTAGGGTCATTTAAGTAGATAAAAACACCATAATGCACAACTGTATACCTTCCCATTCATTTCACGCGCAGCATCCTTTGCATCTGCCGGACTCTCAAAGGTCACAAAAGCAAAACCTCTTGATTTATTTGTTTCCCGATCTTTCATCAACAGAACTGGAAAGAAAAATATATATATTTAGTGCAGACACAGAAAGTCTACTAGATTACAAAATATTAATCCGAACTGATGCTCAGAATTGAGGTATTGGTGTTTTCTCCAGCTCATTGATTATCAAAACCATTATGTTATTCACAAATGCTTATACTTGAGATCCAAGCGGTTCCGATACGCACAAGTTATGTGCTCTAGAATATAACAGTCCTCATACTATAGCAAGAGTAATGTCTTCATCAGGACATAACTATTGTCATGTAACAGCAATCCATTTAGTTGTATTCTTGATAGTTAGCCAACATCTTTAAAAAAAAATATGTACCTTCTACTATTCTGCCATATTTGCTGAAATACTTCTCAAGGGCCTTTTCGTCAGTTTCAGTGTCCAGGCCTCCGATGAAGAGCTTCCCTGGTCGGTCGGCCTCTGCCATATTTGCGTCGGTTTAACCTAATAAGAGAAAATAATAGTTTTGAGCCACCAGATCTACTGGTTGTGCAACACAAATGAGCGTGCTTGGACTAAAGCATGTTTGGGAAAACTGTGTCCTACCTCCTGACCTCGGTTTCGAAACTTACAGTTAACTAGCTAACGTTAGCCATTTTGGTTAGCTTAATATTTCATTCAGGTCTACGTGGTGGCTAGCAAGCTAATGGTTGTGTAGCTATCGTTAACTACTTAAGTTACAATAACATTGTACATTAGAAAGTGAAACGTATCTTTGGTTAAGCTTTAACATGCAGCACAAAATGGCGTCGAAATGGGAATGAATGGCTAGCTAACAATTTCAAACAAAGTATCTCCGCCCATTCCATCCAGCCAGGACATCAGTTATGCTAGTTCAAGTTACCTGGCAAGTTAGCTGCTTTACAAACTATTTAGTTTGCAGGAAAATAACCACGTCGGTCTATGTCAGTCCAAGTGCATTATTAGTAAATGAACAATAACCACGCATTTAACAATAAATAACCGGACGAAACTGTGGATTCTTTCAACAAAACTCAAAATGGCGACTGGTTCATTTGAGGCTAGCTAGCTGTTAGTCGGTCGGTAAAACATACGTGCATGCATAAATGTATCGCGTTTTATCAGACATTAACGTGAGTTGGCTATTTACTATCTGCAAAACAGACAAGCCATTGTGCACAAAACACATTTGAGTAGTGTCTGACACCTACCCCTCCGAATTCCACAACGCGCTGGCGCATCAATAAAAATTCGAAACGATGGATGTCAATTTATAATGATCACGCGCTATCACGCATCCGGAAGTAGCTGGCAACCCATGTATTTTCTTCTATGGTGGTCTGAAAAATCAACATAGCAAAGAGTAAAACCACTGCCTCCTGCTGTTTAAAGAAAAAAATATATATATATTTTTTTGTTTTTTTTCTAATGAGCATACAAATATAGAACATTGACAGCATGGAACAGTAATAATGTTATAGCTAGGTAGCTTGCAAAATTTATAATTACATGACGTTAGAGAAGACCAAGAGCACAGATAGAACAAGGAGGGTTAGTAATAAATATATTTGCCAAGAGTCTGGAAGACTGACCAATCAAACTTATCGTCCCGCCCACTTCTTAATGACATTTTACATTTACATTTACGTCATTTAGCAGACGCTCTTATCCAGAGCGACTTACAAATAGGTGCATTCACCCTATAGCCAGTGGGATAACCACTTTACAATATCTTTTTTTTTTTTTTTTTTTTTTTAGGGGAGGGGGGTAGAAGGATTACTTTATCCTATCCCAGGTATTCCTTAAAGAGGTGGGGTTTCAAATGTCTCCGGAAGGTGGTGAGTGACTCCGCTGTCCTGGCGTCGTGAGGGAGCTTGTTCCACCATTGGGGTGCCAGAGCAGCGAACAGTTTTGACTGGGCTGAGCGGGAACTATGCTTCCGCAGAGGAAGGGGAGCCAGCAGGCCAGAGGTGGATGAACGCAATGCCCTCGTTTGGGTGTAGGGACTGATCAGAGCCTGAAGGTACAGAGGTGCCGATCCCCTCACAGCTCCATAGGCAAGCACCATGGTCTTGTAACAGATGCGAGCTTCAACTGGAAGCCAGTGGAGTGTGCGGAGGAGCGGGGTGACGTGAGAGAACTTGGGAAGGTTGAACACCAGACGGGCTGCGGCATTCTGGATGAGTTGTAGGGGTTTAATGGCACAGGCAGGGAGCCCAGCCAACAGCGAGTTGCAGTAATCCAGACGGGAGATGACAAGTGCCTGGATTAGGACCTGTGCCGCTTCCTGTGTAAGGCAGGGTCGTATTCTCCGAATGTTGTAGAGCATGAACCTGCAGGATCGGGTCACCGCCTTGATGTTAGCGGAGAACGACAGGGTGTTGTCCAGGGTCACGCCAAGGCTCTTCGCACTCTGGGAGGAGGACACAACGGAGTTGTCAACCGTGATGGCGAGATCATGGAACGGGCAGTCCTTCCCCGGGAGGAAGAGCAGCTCCGTCTTGCCAAGGTTCAGCTTGAGGTGGTGATCCGTCATCCATACTGATATGTCTGCCAGACATGCAGAGATGCGATTCGCCACCTGGTTATCAGAAGGGGGAAGAGGTTGAGGAGTTGGAGGTTGGCCCTTCTGTGATGATAGCGGATGAAATAGGGAAACTGGTTGACAATTACATTGGTAGAAGTTTTATGCTTTTTTACCACTTTTCACAGATTGATCCAAGGACCCAGATAGTGGGCGCACAGGAGCAGGCGTTTACGTTCCTGAATTGAATGTGCAGATATGTAGAAGACTAACAGATGAACTGTCAGTATACTCAGTTGAACTGTTGGCGATAATTGTTTCCCTCCAGTGGGTGGAGGACGTACAACCTGTTAGAATTATAGTATGCTCAGATTCTCTGTCTGTATTGAATAGTTTATCATCTGGTAAATCTAATAGGAGTGACCTACTATTAGAGGTATTAATGTTATTATGGAGAATTGAGAGAATGGGTGTAGTATGGTATACTGTGAACCATCAGATCCTCCTCTCCACCCTCTCCGAGTTGGGCATCTCCGGCGCGGCTCACTCTTGGATTGCGTCCTACCTGACCGGTCGCTCCTACCAAGTGGCGTGGCAAGAATCTGTCTCCGCACCACGTTCTCTCACCACTGGTGTCCCCCAGGGCTCAGTTCTAGGCCCTCTCCTATTCTCGCTATACACCAAGTCACTTGGCTCTGTCATATCCTCACATGGCCTCTCCTATCATTGCTACGCAGACGACACACAACTAATCTTCTCCTTCCCCCTTCTGATAACCAGGTGGCGAATCGCATCTCTGCATGTCTGGCAGACATATCAGTGTGGATGACGGATCACCACCTCAAGCTGAACCTCGGCAAGACGGAGCTGCTCTTCCTCCAGGGGACGGACTGCCCATTCCATGATCTCGCCATCACGGTTGACAACTCCGTTGTGTCCTCCTCCCAGAGTGCGAAGAGCCTTGGCGTGACCCTGGACAACACCCTGTCGTTCTCCGCTAACATCAAGGCGGTGACCCGATCCTGTAGGTTCATGCTCTACAACATTCGGAGAGTACGACCCTGCCTTACACAGGAAGCGGCACAGGTCCTAATCCAGGCACTTGTCATCTCCCGTCTGGATTACTGCAACTCGCTGTTGGCTGGGCTCCCTGCCTGTGCCATTATACCCCTACAACTCATCCAGAATGCCGCAGCCCGTCTGGTGTTCAACCTTCCCAAGTTCTCTCACGTCACCCCGCTCCTCCGCACACTCCACTGGCTTCCAGTTGAAGCTCGCATCTGCTACAAGACCATGGTGCTTGCCTACGGAGCTGTGAGGGGAACGGCACCTCCGTACCTTCAGGCTCTGATCAGTCCCTACACCCAAACGAGGGCATTGTGTTCATCCACCTCTGGCCTGCTGGCCCCCCTACCTCTGCGGAAGCACAGTTCCCGCTCAGCCCAGTCAAAACTGTTCGCTGCTCTGGCACCCCAATGGTGGAACAAGCTCCCTCACGACGCCAGGACAGCGGAGTCACTCACCACCTTCCGGAGACACTTGAAACCCCACCTCTTTAAAGAATACCTGGGATAGGATAAAGTAATCCTTCTACACCCCCCTTACCCCCCCCCCCCCCCCCCCCCCCAAAAAAAAAAAAAAAAAAAAAAAAAAAAGTGGTTATCCCACTGGCTATAAGGTGAATGCACCAATTTGTAAGTCGCTCTGGATAAGAGCGTCTGCTAAATGATGTAAATGTAAATGTAGTAGTGAGCTTCTGCTAGGTCCCAGCACATTCGGGTGTGGAAGGGAATTAAATTGTAGACCAGTTAGCCAAAAGAGCTTTGAAACGAGATATAATTGATGTTAATGTTCCTCTGGGTAGAGGTGAAGCCAAATGTGGGACCAGAGCCATTTTGATAGATGTGTGGCAGAAGAGATGGGACTCTGAGCACAAGGGCCAGCATTTATATGCCATCCAAAGAAAGGTTGGTGGACCAAGATTCAAAGGTCAGATTAGGAAGGAAGAGGTGGTGTTTGCTCGATTGCGTTTAGGACATTGTACATTGAACTCGTCATTACATCTGGTGCCAAGCATGTGAATGGTTTGTCTGGAGTGTATGGTCGATGAAATGGTGGAGCATGTGTTGTTATATTGTTGTAAGTATGTTGAAGAGAGGGAAAGATTGAAGTGTAGGTTCATTGAGGTTGGACGGGTTTGGAAGGGATTTGGGGAATGGGCTATTAGAAGTTAGTAGGGCTCTTTTTTATTTTCTCAGAAGTACTGGTCCTCTGTAGCTCAGCTGGTAGAGCACGGCACTTGTAACGCCAAGGTAGTGGGTTCGATCCCCGGGACCACCCATACACAAAAATGTATGCATGCATGACTGTAAATCGCTTTGGATAAAAGCGTCTGCTAAATGGCATATTATTATTATATTATACTGAGTTAGGTAGGAGGATTTAGAAATGTTGTAAACCGTAATCGACCACACTCCAGCACAGTAGGTGGCGGCATGCACCTTTAACGTTGGTTTGCGGACCGCCATTATATCATAGAAGAAGAAGACGACGACGTGTTGGATGTTAGCTAATTATCTAAGATCAATTGGCCGACAAGCTAGCTAACGTTATTTTTCCTCGCAGAAACAAAAACGAAACTAGCTACATACCGGGTGAATTGAAATTAGCAACAAAACTGGGATAATGAAGACGCGGATAGACACGGATTTTGTACTTGTGTTCACGTTAGTTGCCTTCAGTACTTGTTCAGGATTCTACCTTCCGGGTATAGCCCCAGTGAGTTTTTGTGAAGACGGTAAAGGAGGTGACGATTGTCAGGTACATTTACACATTTTGTGGTTTTCTTCGAAGGATTAACGCTTTTCAGATGGAAGTTTTTAATGTTACATTTGTATTTAGTTCTATTTCCTTCATACTCCTACTGGCTAGCTAGTTAGGGGGTTAGTTGCTAGTCATGTGACACCAGAGATACTCCTGCGCTAGCACCAAAACTATTCACTAGCTAAACTATCAAACTTTAGCGTACCAATTGTTGCTAGCTTGCTAACTAGTCTTGATTTGAAGTTGTTCACATTATTAGCAACTTGTGCGTCACGGCTGGCTAGTAAGCTAGCTACAAAACATTGACTCTTGAGAACCCAAGGCATTCTGCCTTATCCCAAGGGTTCTCAGTTATAAGAACCGCTTATCGGTGGGACCATGTGAACTACAATCCCGATACTCTGTTTTAACGTTTAGAAACGTCAATCACCACTTGCGATAACGTTTTCGAAACATATGGAATTTAAAGTTTATATAAGTGAGAAATAAAAAATATACAGTTAACGTTACTGTAGCAGGTTTGTACAGATCGATATCATATGGCTGTGTACCTCCAGCCGACGAACTATACTTCTTCCCCAGTTATGCTAAGGGTACAGGTGTTTCCGCATGCTAGATGGCCAATTAACACAGGCGGTCGCCTCTGTCTTCCTTAAACAAGCACTGTAACATGGAGATATGACCATGTGGGAACCCTAACCCCTATAAAGGGTGTGTAGTAATTTAACCTTTTTTTGTTTTTAGAAAGTTATTTCTGGCTGATATGAAAGATAAGGTCCTTTTATGTTTCCAAAACCATACAGCAAAATATGCGTGTTAAAGGCCTAGTGCGGTCAGAAACGTGATTTTCCTGTGTTTATCACCACACTGAGGTTGGAATAATACTGTGCAAATGGTATGCACTTTTAGTGTAAGTAAGAGCTGTTTCAAAGGTCTGCCTGAAATTTCAGCCTGTTTTGGTGGGATCGAGTTTTGGCCTTCCATGGTGACATCACCATGTGGTAAATTAGTTAATAGACCAATAAGAGAGTTCCAAACCTCTCTGGCAATAACAGCTAATTATCAGTTTTCCCCTCACCACTCAGTCCACTCCCAGACAGTCCTAGCAACATTCTTGCTTGAGAAATTGCTCTAACTAAGAAGCTATTTTTTGACAATTTTGATTAAAAACAATCACAGTAAGGTACTTAAAGGTGCTACACATGTTTCTTTTTGAATTTTTGCATTGCAATTTCAGAAAATGTCCATAATGTATCTGGCGCTAATAGTGGAACGATAGTTTCACAATATTACTTGACCGCCAGTGTTGTGATTGGCCATGATATTCGCCAAAACCACTGGTAACTTTGGTTTTGGTTCACCAGCTTCAAACAGCTGTAAAAATGATATTTGTTGTTATTGAAAATATGGTACAATGATTCCCTACACTGTTCAGTGCTTGTTGTCTCACATAAACTGAAATTGAGAGAACAGTGTAGAGCGATTTCCACTAGATAACACACGGCCACAAAGTCAGAACAGCTTTCCCAGTTTGACAACCGATGCCAGCGGGAGAGATCAATAGGCAAATTTCACAGCCAATCACAATAAGTAATACTGTGAAACACTATCAATCCACTATTAGCACCACATATATTATGGACATTTTCTGAAATAACAATGCAAAGATTCTAAAAAATCCTATGTGTAGCACCTTTAATGAAATGATTTGATGTTGAGATAAAAATGTCTGCATTGGGCCTTTAACTTTCAGAACAAGTGTCGGCTCTTAACAAAACTTCCCTGGCAAGTGGATACCTTTATGAATAGACGCTAGTGGTAGTTAGCATCTATGAATGGGCTACACCAGGGGTAGGCAACTCTGGTTCTGGAGTGCCACAGGCACTTCATGTTTTTGATTGAACCGACCTGGAAGACTAGGTGTGTTGAATTTAGGCAATCACTGAACTGATCAATTAGCTCAGTTGGTCAGGCTTGGTGCCTAGTTGGATAAAAAATCATGCACGGCACTCTGGGAACAGGGATGCCTACCCCTGTACTACACAAACATGACATGCAATGCATTCATATCTTTACATAAGGTTGACGAACAAGTCTGTTAAGATTGTCTGGTTGTACGTAAGTTAGGGCCAGTGTTTCCCAATCCTGGTCCTCGAGGACACCCAACAGTACACACTTTTATTGTAACCCTGGACAAGCACACCTGATTCAACATGTCAACTAATCATCAAGCCCTCAATGAGCTGATTTAAGGTGTGTTTGTCCAGGGCTACAACAAAAATGTGTACTGTTGGGGGTACTGGAAGACCAGGGTTGGGAAACACTGAGTTAGGCTATAGCTAACTAGCAGAGTCTGTAGCTAGAATAATGAATGGAATACATATTGTAAGTTATTTAGTTGGAAGGTCAGGCCCCTATGTAGTTTATAATGATACAGATTATAATGGTTGACAACAATATCAATACTGACAACCCAGTAATGATCCACGTCTTCACTTGAGTAGTTCCATGTTATTTCAGCAAGCCATGACACCCACCATCTCAGATTGTTCTGAAATCATTTCTGTAGTTAGGAACAGTTAAGATTGGCATTCCTGAAACATTATTTTGTTGACTTTTAATTTGATCTTTGAGAAATTAAGCTAATTGATTGCACCTAAATTGGCCATTGAAATGTATAGGATTCAGATAATATTCAATAAATATAGTACCCAACATCCGATTAGGACCAAACTTCTTCCTATCAATGAGTAAGACATTTGGAATCCAAAAGAATGTCCAAAAGCCACCCACGGACCCCCTGAGATGGTGGGTGTCGAAATCCTCTTTCTTGTGCTTTTTGAAGTGGAACGACCCCCTTGTCATTGCACTGTAGTATGCTTATTAGTCCCGATTGTGGCATTTACATAGAAAAAACCCTGAAACGTCTGTCTGTCACAAATGTTTACAAAAAAAAAAAAATTGAACTTACTCTGCCGATTGCACATATATATGTGATTACATGACTTGCATGAGCGGTGCCCTTTTGACAGTTGTTTTCCCACTAATTGCATTATGGGCCGAACATTCTCCCATAGTCTACTGCCTTGTGCGTATTGCTGCGCTTATAATGTGAAGAAATAATAGTTTATCAACATGACCAATGCATACTAGCCGTAGTCTTGCAGGTGTTTTATATGGTTTAGTGCATGCGCCAGTTAATTGAAATCTCAACTTCAGCACCGGCCCTCTAAAAAGTCAGGTAAATAATACTTTCCTGTGGATATTTTGTCTCAAATTTCGACCATCTTAAGGATCAACCCCATGGACAATCGGCAGAGTAAGTTCAAATATAATTTTATTTAACACTTTTGCTTGTATGGAAACTTTCCAGGTTTTTGCAGTGCATTGTTTGACTGTATCCCAGTAAGTCATATCACTCTGATTTATTAGGCAACATGCCTGTATGACCATCTCTCTCCTTCCTTACAGACTCTCATCCAGCTATTTGTGAATCGCTTGGACTCAGTGGAATCAGTTCTGCCATATGAATATGACGTGTAAGTAGTAGCCAATGTTATTATAGTTTTGTGTTTTTGTATTAGTTTTTCTTTCTATCTGTAGCTCAGCTGGTAGAGCACGGCGCTTGTAACGCCAAGGTAGTGGGTTCGATCCCCGGGACCACCCATACACAAAAAATGTATGCACGCATGACTGTAAGTCGCTTTGGATAAAAGCGTCTGCTAAATGACATATTAATATTAATTAATCTTTAATTTTTATTTGAAATTCAGTTTAGTTTCAGTTTAAAGACCTGATTGGCTATTTTTTATTTAGTTTCAGTTTTAGTGTTAGTGTTCGTGACCGAAAGCATGCGTGGGAGGTCATTTCCAGATCATGAGAGCATGTCAAATAAAAGCTAAGAGTCTATATTTTTTCGAAATTAAGGCATACAGTGCATTCCGAAAGTATTCAGACCCCTTGACTTTTTCCACATTTTGTTACGTTACATCCTTATTCTAAAATTGATTAAATTAAAATTTTCCCTCATCGATCTACACACAATACCCCATAATGACAAAGTGTAAACAGGTTTTTAGAAATTTTTGCATAAAATAGAATAACGTATTTACATAAGTATTCAGACCCTTTGCTATGATACTTGAAATTGAGCTCAGGTACATCATGTTTCCATTGATCATCCTAAATCATCCTTCTACAGCTTGATTGGAGTCCACCTATGGTCAATTCAATTGATTGGACATGATTTGGAAAGGCACACACCTGTCTATATAAGGTCCCACAGTTGACAGTTCATGTCAGAGCAAAAACCAAGCCACGAGGTCGAAGGAATTGTCCGTAGAGCTCCGAGATAGGATTGTGTCGAGGCACAGATCTGGGAAAGAGTACCAAAAAATTTCTGCAGCATTGAAGGTTCCCCAAGAACACAGTGGCCTCCATCATTCTTAAATGGAAGAAGTTTGGAACCACCAAGACACTTCCTAGAGCTGGCCGCCCGGCCAAAATGAGCAATCGGGGGAGAACCTTCCAGAAGGACAACCATCTCTGCAGCACTCCACCAATCAGGCCTTTATGGGAGAGTGGCCAGACAGAAGCCACTCCTCAGTAAAAGGCACATGACAGCCTGCTTGGAGTTTGCCAAAAGGCTCGTAAAGGACTCTGACAATGAGAAACAAGATTCTCTGGTCTGATGAAACCAAGATTGAACTCTTTGGCCTGAATGCCAAACGTCACATCTGGAGGAAACCTGGCACCATCCCTACGGTGAAGTGTGGTGGTGGCAGCATCATGCTGTGGGGGTGTTTCTCAGCGGCAGGGATTGGGAGACTAGTCAAGATCGAGGGAAAAATGAACGTAGCAAAGTACAGAGATCCTTGATGAAAACCTGCTCCAGAGCACTCAGGCCCTCAGACTGGGGTGAAGGTTCACCTTCCAACAGGACAACAACCCTAAGCACACAGCCAAGACAACGCAGGAGTGGCTTCGGGACAAGTTAAGGGGTCTGAATGTCCTTAAGTGGGCCAGCCAGAGCCCAGACTGCCTGTTAAATGTCCAGCTCCACATTTTCCTAATGAAAAATCCAGCAACACTTCTATTTAGTTCAGGATAATATTTTCTGCCTTCTGTAAGTTGAAGAAACATTGCCTTGTGCCTTGAAATTCCGTTAACAAAAACCCACATATCTTTAAGATATTTTCTAATTTCTCTCCCCCATGGGGTGGGAGCATAATGTAAGTTCAGAGGAACAAGTAGTGGTAGACCTACCAATCAGTTAGTGATTTTGGCCCAAACATAGACCTCCATGATTGGTTCAAATTTGTTCTGGAACAGATGTCTGTGTTTCACAAGTTTCAACAGCACAGATTGATGAGAAGAAAAAAAACAATTTAATCCATATTAGAATAAGGCTGTAAAAAAGTCAAGGGGTCTGAACTTTCTGAATGTGGTGTGTGTGTGTATATGTACAGTTGATTTCGGAAGTTTACATACACTTAAGTTGGAGTCATAAAAACTTGTTTTTCAACCACTCCACAAATGTCTTGTTAACTAACTATAGTTTTGGCAAGTCGGTTAGGACATCTACTTTGTGCATGACACAAGTAATTTTTCCAACAATTGTTTACAGACAGATTATTTCACTTATAATTCACTGTATCACAATTCCAGTGGGTCAGAAGTTTACATACACTAAGTTGACTGAGCCTTTAAACAGCTTGGAAAATTCCAGAAAATGATGTCATGGCTTTAGAAGCTTCTGATAGGCTAATTGACATCATTTGAGTCAATTGGAGGTGTACCTGTGGATGTATTTCAAGGCGTACCTTCAAACTCAGTGCCTCTTTGCTTGACATCATGGGAAAATGAACAGAAATCAGCCAAGACCTCAGAAAAAAAATTGTAGACCTCCACAAGTCTGGTTCATCCTTGGGAGCAATTTCCAAATGCCTGAAGGTACCACGTTCATCTGTACAAACAATAGTACACAAGTATAAACACCATGGGACCACGAAACCATCATACCGCTCTGGAAGGAGACGTGTTCTGTCTCTTAGAGATGAACGTACTTTGGTGCGAAAAGTACAAATCAATCCCAGAACAACAGCAAAGGACCTTGTGAAGATGCTGGAGGAAACAGTTACAAAAGTATCTATATCCACAGTAAAACGAGTCCTATATCGACAACCTGAATGGCCGCTCAGCAAGGAAGAAGCCACTGCTCCAAAACTAAAACCGCCATTAAAAAAGCCAGACTACAGTTTGCAACTGCACATGGGGACAAAGATCATACTTTTTGGAGAAATGTCCTCTGGTCTGAGGAAACAAAAATATAACTGTTTGTCCATAATGACCATCGTTATGTTTGGAGGAAAAAGGGGGTTGCTTGCAAGCCGAAGAACACCATCCCAACCGTGAAGCACGGGGGTGGCAGTGTCTTGCTGTGGGGGTGCTTTGCTGCAGGAGGGACTGGTGCACTTCACAAAATAGATGGCATCATGAGGAAGGAAAATTATGTGGATATATTGAAGCAACATGGGTCTTCCAAATGGACAATGACCCCAAGCATACTTCCAAAGTTGTGGCAAAATGGCTTAAGGACAACAAAGTCAAGGTATTGGAGTGGCCATCACAAAGCCCTAACCTCAATCCTATAGAACATTTGTGGGCAGAACTGAAAAAGCGTGTGCGAGCAAATTAGGCATACAAACCTGACTCAGTTACACCAGCTCTGTCAAGAGGAATGGGCCAAAATTCCCCCAACTTATTGTGGGAAGCTTGTGGAAGGCTACCCGAAATGTTTGACCCAAGTTAAACAATTTAAAGGCAATGCTACTAAATACTAATTGAGTATATAGTGTATGTAAACTTCTGATCCACTGGGAATGTGATAAAATAAATAAAAGCTGAAATAAATCATTCTCTCTCAACTATTATTCTGACATTTCACATTCTTAAAATAAAGTTGTGATCCTAACTGACATAAGACAGGGAATATTTCAGTTTCTTGGCAATTTCTCGCATGGAATAGCCTTCATTTCTCAAAGCAAGAAAATACTGACGAGTTTCAGAAGAAAGTGATTTGTTTCTGGCCATTTTGAGCCTGTAATCGAACCCACAATTGCTGTTTCTCCAGATACTCAACTAGTCTCAAGAAGGCCCGTTTTTATTGCTTTTTTTAATCAGCACAACAGTTTTCAGCTGTGCTAACATAATTGCAAAAGTGTTTTCTAATGATCAATTATCCTTTTTAAAATGATAAACTTGGATTAGCAAACACAACGTGCCATTGGAACACAGGACTGATGTTTGCTGATAATGGGCCTCTGTACGCCTATGTAGATATTCCATAAAAAAATCTGCCGTTTCCATCTACAATAGCCATTTACAACATAAGTGTCTACACTGTGTTTCTGATCAATTTGATGTTATTTTAATGGACAGAAAAATTGCTTTTCTTTCGAAAACAATGAACTTTCTAAGTGACCCCAAACTTTTGCACTGTAGTGTGTGTTTATATATGATTGGAAATGATGCAGATTGTGGCTTCCATCAATGTACATTTACATTTACATTTTAGTCATTTTGCAGACGCTCTTATCCAGAGCGACTTGCAGTTAGTGAGTGCATACATTTTTATTTTTTATACTGGAATCGAACCCACAACCCTGGCGTTGCAAATGCCATGCTCTACCAACTGAGCTACATCCCTGCCGGCCATTCCCTCCCCTACCCTGGACGACGCTGGGCCAATTGTGCGCCGCCCCATGGGTCTCCCGGTCGCGGCCGGCTACGACAGAGCCTGGATAATTGTCTATCTGCAATATTAAAGCTGATCTACCCCCCTAAAATAAAAAAATAAATAAAGTTTGCTACCTAGACACATTTTCCCGTTAGCTAGTGATAGTGATTCACAAACTAGTCCTATTTGAATGAAACATCGCCGCCATCTCCAGGCAGCATTTACCGGCTAGATTCAGTAGCTTGAAAATCCCTAAAAGGGCCGTTCCACGAGATGAGTGGTTTTTGTGTCCCTTTTGATATTTTAAGTAGAAATTGTTCACCAATATTGAATTTAAAAGCCTGTTATATTAAATGAAGTGCCATTTAATATAGACCACATTGAGAATTCAATAAATATTTTTAATATGAATAAATACTTGCTAAAGTGCCAAAATTCAGCATTTTGACATGTCCCTCCATGCACCCTCTGTTACTTCTAGAAAGATTTTAACCCATGTAAATTTCTCCAAGTTTACACCATCTTTGTATAGCCCTAGTTATTTTGTTGCTTTGACAGTAATTTCTAAAGATTATTATTTATTTCATGTGATTTAGTGATTTCATTTACATCTGCCCCTCATTTTAAGGACAATCCTTTTACGTGAACTGAACTCTTGTTTTAATATGGTAAAAATATTTTTTACCAAAAGAAACATTGAACATCTAATAGTGAAATTATTGAGTAAAAACAGGTGAGCTAGTTCTACTCTTTTTGCCATTTTGTGATAGAAAACTAAGTGGGTCGAGCATAACAGATCAACCCTGTTACCCATAGAATGTTTTAAGTTTTGTATATTTTTATGAAGCTTAACTGTTGCACACAATAAGCTTCCAAGGGGATTTATGGCTGATTTTGAAGATGAAATCGTCAACCCTGTTACTTTATTTGGCACTTAATAGGCACTTATGCTACTAGTCTTCTTTTTTTTTCTTAACCTCTTGTAATAATTTTTTTTAATGGAGTTGAGCATGTGCTCTTTGACAATGTTAAAATTAGGTGAAATCAAATGTTGTTTTTTAACAAATTACACTACTTAAAAGGCACTGAAATGGTGGAACAACCCAAAGAAGCTTCAAAACCCCATTCTATTTTGGCCACAGTTAAAAGAAAATACTAAAACTGAACGTAATTATGATGTTTTTTATTTGAGTTAGTTTTGGAGTCCAAGATAATAGTTTCAGTTTTTCAAACGGGTTTGTTCGTTATTAAATTGTACAAAATTATCTTCATGATTAGTTTACATTTTGTATTTCCGTTTTCATTTACTATAACAACTTTGGTAGTAGCTCTGACTGGTACAGGCCTCTGTCTTTACCTTATCTTACTTTTGTTGGATCATTGCACATTCATTCTCAACAAATTTTTTCACAGCTTTGACTTCTGCACAGATAACGTGGAGAGGAGACCGTCTGAGAACCTGGGCCAGGTGCTATTTGGCGAGAGAATTGAGACCTCGCCATACAAGGTAGGGGACCTCTGTCATCACAGGTTTCATTGATAGTCTGGCATTTACCACCAGGATTTAATTACCCTAAAGGTCCTCTGGGCCCAGCTTTTCAGGTATTGTGTTCCATTGTTTTCTGTTGCTCAATCTCTCCAGGCAAGACCGGCTATTCAATCTGTCTTGACTGCCCTGTTCTTCCTGTTATACCCAGTATGTCTTACTCTTCATGGCAGTGTCAAGAGTTTTAATTCTTCACTTTCCCTCAGTTCTCATTCAAAAAAGACGAGAAATGCCAGAAATTGTGCACCAAAACCTATGTGAAGGGTAAAACCGAGGATAAGAACATGCTGGACTTCCTCAAGAGAGGAATGCAGTTGAACTACCAGCACCATTGGTGAGCTAATCATTCTCCTTCTCATCAATAGGTTGAGATACTTGTAGGTAATTCTACAGAAATGGGTCTGCTTACCCCCAAGCATAGGTAGGGCCCCTTAGCATGATACGAATCCTATACAACATGTTAACACTATTTTTGCACAGCATTTGGTTAGACCGAGATGGATGAACGGGAGACAGATTTGTTTCAACTAAATCACTTGCAGGGCTTTTCCAGTTTATTTAGAGAGCGAGTGTTTTTAACTGGGTTTAACAAAATGTGTGTGTTTTTGTTTTCAGGATTGTTGACAACATGCCAGTCACCTGGTGCTATGAGGTGGAAGACAGTCAGAAATACTGCAATCCTGGATTTCCCATTGGCTGCCTCATCACCTCCGAGGGGCGGCCTAAAGATGCCTGTGTCATCAATGTGAGCCATACTGTTACAATATCTCACACACAGGATGGTTGCCCAACATCTATCTGATAACACCAGAGATTGCAGCTATGCCAATTCTAGTTCAAGCCAGGCTGTGTTGTGAAATGGTAATATAATAACACCATTAGGTTGGACCATGACTGAGCTGTGCCGTTTTATAATAGCACTAATGATAACCTGCTTTGGATGTAGTTGTGTTTAGTATTTTTTTCCACCTTTATTTAACCAGGTAAGCCAGTTGAGAACAAGTTCTTATTTACAACTGCGACCTGGCCAAGATAAAGCAAAGCACTGCGATTTAAAAACAACAACACAGTTACACATGGGATAAAACAAAACATAGTCAATAACACAATAGAAAATCTATATACACTGTGTGCAAATGTAGCAAGTTATGGAGGTAAGGCAATAAATAGGCCATAGTGCAAAATAATTACAATTTAGTATTAACGCTAGAGTGGTAGATGTGCAGAGGATGATGTGCAAATAGAGATACTGGGGTGCAAATGAGCAAAATAAATAACAATATGGGGATGAGGTAGTTGGGTGGGCTAATTACAGATGGGCTGTGTACAGGTGCAGTGATCGGTAAGCTGCTCTGACAACTGATGCTTAAAGTTAGTGAGGGAGATAAGAGTCTCCAGCTTCAGAGATTTCTGCAGTTCGTTCCAGTCATTAGCAGCAGAGAACTGGAAGGAATGGCGGCCAAAGGAGGTGTTGGCTTTGGGGATGACCAGTGAGATATACCTGCTGGAGCGCATACTACGGGTGGGTGTTGCTATGGTGACCAATGAGCTAAGATAAGGCGGGGATTTGCCTAGCAGTGATTTATAGATGACCTGGAGCCACTGGGTTTGGCGACGAATATGTAGTGAGGGCCAGCCAACGAGAGCGTAAAGGTCACAATGGTGGGTAGTATATGGGACTTTGGTGACAAAACGGATGGCACTGTGATAGACTACATCCAATTTGCTGAGTAGAGTGTTGGGAGCTATTTGGTAAAAAACATCGCCGAAGTCAAGGATCGGTAGGATAGTCAGTTTTACGAGGGCATGTATGCACTATGTAATCTGGGGTAATTGACTGGCATCTTATGTCTTTCAGGGTGAGTTCAACAAGAAGGACACATTTTACGTCTTCAACCACGTGGACATCAAACTTACCTACCACAATGGGGAGGGGGAGGGGTGGAGAGGAGCTCGCTTGGTGGCAGCCACACTGGAGCCCAAGAGGTAAGAATTTCAGATGGGCAGATGGAGTGTAAATCGGGTGATGTATAAGCAGATTTATTCCATTTTCATTAGCAGCACTTTAACTTATTGTCGCTGGTGCTTCCATAGGTGTCCATGAATATGCACTGTTCTATACTCATTGAACAACTGTTGGCCACGTATGTTTGTTTCATTTTATTGTTAATCAGTGTAATTTCCACATTTCACCAGAGGAGGCCGAAACTCCTACTTTTTTGCACTGCTGTATCTGGCATGCATAAATTAAATTTGCCAAGCATCATTTGGTAAATGAGTTGTCATTTCAATTGTTATGGCCTGATTTCCAAATGTCCAAACTTCAGGCAATTATCCAATCCATTAAACCAGATTTATGAATATGTTTGATTTAATTCTCAGTTTTAGCACTCATCTGTATAGACAAGCAGAGTTTCATATGAAGCACTGGAAGGCCCCCACCTTTATAATACTTTTTGATAGGGTTTTGTGTTGTAGCTAGTGATCTTATGTGTGATTGACAGTTTCAACAATGCTGGTGCTGACAAACCGACATGTGAAGGCCGTCCCATGGAGGTTCCTGTACTGTTTAACAGTGACGTGAAAATCACCTACACCTACTCTGTCACCTTCGAGGTACGTTAGAATATTTAACCACGTACAAGTACACTATATGAATGTGTTTGGGAAATAGCATAGTTCATAGAAGCATTAAAGTATTCTCTTTCACAAATAATAATTTCTTAATTCACAGGAAAACAATGCCATCAAGTGGGCCTCCAGATGGGACTACATTTTGGTCTCCATGCCTCACACCAACATCCAGTGGTTCAGGTATGTTAGGTCTCAGGTACGTTAGGTCTCGCAACACTCAGCCCTGTTAAGGGACTTACAGCACAGAAGTAGAGAATGTCTAACAGGCCTTCTCTGAGGAAGCCCTTCCTTATGTCCGAATCAGCAGACAACTGTTATGTAAACACCAGCCTCTCTGAGGAAGCCCTTCCTTCTGTCCGAATCAGCAGGCAACTGTTCTGTAAACACCAGCCTCTCTGAGGAAGCCCTTCCTTCTGTCCGAATCAGCAGGCAACTGTTCTGTAAAGACCAGCCTCTCTGAGGAAGTCCTTCCTTATATCCTAATCAGCAGACAACTGTTCTGTAATCACCAGCCTGAGAGACTTGTATGAAGTCAAAACCAAAAGGCAGTGACGTTGTCAGCTGCTACAGAATCAGTGTGTCATACAATAATAATCAAAAGTCCTCGGTCCGTGTACCTCCAGTCAATCACTATCAACAGATATGATTTTAATCCATAACATACAGCATCTAGTCTAGTGACCATCAACCTGCACCTTAAATGTCACATATAGAACACTGGAAATCATGTGTGTAACAGAAACTCCAAATATGCTAAACATTGTGTTGATCACTCTAAATGTAATAGGAACTTTAGTCATGTTAAATATTCCCATTCCAGTGCTGTTATACAGTAGATTAGAATATGGTGCTCCTCTGCTGCTGTGAGTCATGTTAATGGTGTATGGCTTGTGTTCTTTCCAGCATCATGAACTCTCTAGTCATCGTGCTTTTCCTGTCTGGCATGGTGGCTATGATAATGCTGAGGACCCTGCACAAGGACATCGCCAGGTACAACCAGGTGGACCAGGTAAAGAAACACACACAGCAGCTCTTTGAGACACTCACTTACCATCTCACTTCTCTGACTGTCAAACTATAGGATAGTATGAAACCAAGTTCACGTACAGAGAAAAATAACCAGATTATTCAATTGTGTTCTATTGTATGCAAAGGAATCCTTCAGGAGTGAATGGGGCAGATAGACAAGGCAGAGGATTAATCTGCCAAAAGTCATTTGTGTTCTGTATGTTGCCGAACCACAAGCATGAAACCTTTGTTGTAACGTTTCACATTCACAGAAAGACTTGATAAAGGCTCCACCACCACAAGGAACATTAATATTCTATGTAAGCTTATCGAAAGCCATTTGAGCACAACTGGGGAATGGTGGTGTGATTTTTGGGAGCTACCTCTTGAAGTGTCATAACTTGTAAACCTTTAAAATGTGGTGTAGTGAAGGCCATCATTTACAGCTGCATTTGGGCTAAACTGAGAGTTCATGTCTGCACCATATTTTACAGCCATTGGGTAACATGGTAACGTCATGTGTCTTCATGTGGTTTTTGCTACACTAGCAGGTGTTAGACGAGCTGGAAGATAGGATAATGACTCACTCTTGGTGATTGGCTGATCCGTAACGAAGCAATTTGAATATGCATAACTTTCACCATTCTCTTGGTTCTGATTGATTGTGGTGCACTCTAACCCAACAGGATGATGCTCAGGAGGAGTCTGGGTGGAAGCAGGTGCACGGGGATGTGTTCAGGCCTCCTACGAAGGGCATGATGCTTTCTGTGTTCCTCGGCCAGGGAACCCAGATCTTCATCATGACTTTCATCACCCTCTGTAAGTAACTCTTCCTCGGATGGTTTAATAAGCAACGTAAAATCACAATTCATTACAGCATCTTCAGAAGATGGTTTATTCAACATGAACTCAAGTCTACATGACCTATCGGGAAGAGTTTATAATAGTGGTAGTATTACTGTAGTGGTAGCATTCTCTGTAGTGATGGTGACGTCGGTTTGACTCCTCTAGTCCTGGCCTGCCTGGGGTTCCTGTCTCCAGCTAACCGGGGGGCTCTGATGACCTGTTCTGTGGTGCTGTGGGTTCTGTTGGGGACCCCTGCAGGATACGTGTCAGCACGCCTCTATAAGAGTAAGCCCCATTTACATACTCATCAACGAGCCACATGTGAGTTAATTTAATAAGATTGAGTTTGAGAAAGGAACGATATGAATGCAAATCAGATCATTGTCATTTCAGGCCTACAGTTATCTGGACAGTATGAGATTCCCTCCAACCATTCAGTTAGAAATGTATTTCTGCCTGAATAGACTCTATTCTGTATGCCCTGCTTATAGCTTATGATTTTAACCCTTATTTCCCTGTGTGTCCTCAGCTTTCGGTGGTGAGAAATGGAAGCTCAATGTCCTGTTGACAGCACTGTTGTGTCCAGGGTAGGTCAGCTGTTCGCTGTATACTGTAACATCCAAAGCTGCCTTCGTTTGACATTCTCCTTAACAGGGAGATATGTACAGAGGCTTCACATCTGTCTCTCCCTCTCCTCTTCTCTCCCTTCCCCAGGATTGTGTTTGCAGACTTCTTCCTGATGAACTTGATCTTGTGGGTGGAAGGGTCGTCGGCTGCCATCCCCTTTGGCACGCTGGTGGCCATCTTAGCTCTGTGGTTTGGCATCTCCGTGCCCCTCACCTTCATCGGTGCCTACTTCGGCTTCAAGAAACCTGTGAGTCTAAAATCAGATCCCCCTCTGTCCATGACATCTTATTCATTATGATCTAAATGGCAAAACTGATCCTAGATCAGCACAATACTTTGAGATGGATTATGAATACGGGCCCTGATATTTTGTCCACGTTAAAAGTCAGCCCTTTCTAATATGGCGTACCATTTTCCATTTCTTGATGAGTTGCCACCACTCTCTCTTGCGCCATTCTACAGGCCATTGAGCAGCCGGTGAGAACCAACCAGATCCCCAGACAGATCCCAGAACAGTCCTTCTTCACCAAGCCTGTCCCCGGGATCATCATGGGGGGCATCCTGCCCTTCGGCAGCATCTTCATCCAGCTCTTCTTCATCCTCAATAGCATCTGGTAGGAAGCCATGTGTCTGTCACCTGTCCGACCGTCTGTCTGCGTCTTATCTTTCTGGTAGAAGCAACTCGCCTACTGGGAGTCTTGTTTGACTACGTTGATTTGATGAAATAGTTAGTTCAATGTTGTATCTTTTTGTTCCAGGTCTCACCAGATGTACTACATGTTTGGTTTCCTCTTCCTGGTCTTCATCATCCTCCTCATCACCTGCTCTGAGGCCACCATCCTGCTATGCTACTTCCACTTGTGTGCAGAGGTGAGAGGAAATTATTATATTCCCGGTGCCTTCTCTCAGAATAATGACCTACTGAAACGTATAGGTGTAAATGACTGAAATGTGGATTATGGTGTACTAGGAAACACCATTACAAACATTTTCCAGGGTAACTGTTTCAACCATAATGGCAAAAGTAATGAAAGTATTTTAAAATCAGAATGTCAGTCAGAATGTCTGTAGCCTAACCTTGTGTTTCCTGTAGGACTATCACTGGTGGTGGCGCTCGTTCCTGACCAGCGGCTTCACGGCGGTCTACCTGTTTGTCTACGCAGTCCACTACTTCTTCTCTAAGCTGCAGATCGTTGGAGCTGCCAGCACCATCCTCTACTTTGGCTACACCGCCATCATGGTGCTCATATTCTTCCTCTTCACAGGTGAGTGAACTGGGAACATTGTGTAAGCAAGGTTTTTGACTGTGATACTAAAACAGGTCGGTGTACATCTCAATGGCATTGGCTTGTATTATTTGCAAAGACCCGTCCTGTTGTTTGTTCATGGACTATGGTTACGAGAGATTAACCCACCCATCCTTCAACGCTAAGTACCTACAGTAGGTGGGAACATGCTGCTTGCAGTTTTATGAATGGCGGTGACAAATCCTCTGGAGTAGCGATCTGTCCCAGAGGCATTGTGTTGTAAAGACTATACCAGAGGGAGAAGGATGTGGGGATCGGAATGGAAATCGCTTAGTGTTTGAAGAAGCTGGTTGATTAACATCAGAAGGGACTGCTCAGCCATCCCTGTACACATTTACTAGAATGCTAGTAAATGTTTACTATCCTGTTCCAGTGACGACATAGACCTAGGAATACACTAGTATTGCGCAAGTGTTGTTTGCTCAACCCCCCCGTGACAGGTGTCACACCTCTGGTTCCTCTAGTTTTACTGGCAGTACAGCTGCACTGTGCTTAATGCACTTAAACAGACTTTTACCTGTTTTAGCATAATCTTAAAGAGGTCTCATTGGAGATGCTGGAGTGGATCCTTGAAACTGAGACCAAATAAAGGCTATTATTTTTGCTTAATCTTAATGGTAAATGAACGGTAGTTTGTAGTCTTAATGTGGTAATTTATACGGCAGAGGAATACAAATCAGTCTTCTAAATCGGTTGTATTTAGTGACTTTCCCTCTTCCTGGTTCCTGTGCCAAGTTTGGCACTGAGCAGCTCATTCATATGCTGAGAGGAGGGAGGAAGGCCAGACAGACCGTGTTACACACTGTAAACTCCTCCCACTCTGCTTCATGGAAAAGAGCTGGTCATAGGAGCTGTGGCGTAACAGCACTCAGCCATGCTCTCTGGCCACCTCTCCATGTTCCTGCTCATAAATTATATATGTTCATGGATAGTGTTCATCAAACCTGATTCAATACATTTTAGCCAAGCTCCAGGTCAGCAGACCCTCCCCCGGTCTCCTCAGTGAGACATTTGACTGGACTTGAGCTATTATTAGCGCTGTTAAAACGGAGCACGCGTGTGATTTAGGTCATCAGCAAACGAATACCAGACTTATTTAGGCATTGCTGCTTGTACTAGTTGATTTATGGTTAGCCCTCTTATAGGTATCGGTTTTAGTGAGAGGGGTAGCTTTCGTCTCCTAGAAAATAAACGTGAGGCAGCGCCCAATTTACCGGTTGCCATGGATTCTAATAGATGCACCAGCATCCCTGACTACGGCTGTTATGGCAACTTCCCCTCGCCGGCACTCGAAATATATAGCTGTGTACCAGGAAGAGAGCAATGTGGGCGTTTACTGGGCATCCACACACAACAAGGCTACAGTGAACAGACCTGCCTCGCTCCCTCTGTCCTTACTGTGATGTGGACCGGGTTGACGTGGTAATGACATTCTTTGGCCCCGTCTGGCCTTTGCTTACACACACACACACACACACAACGTGACCTAGGACACAATTTAAAGAAAGTCAATACAAAACTACCACTGAAGCAATGAGTTTCTCTCTCTCCCGAAATATAATATAGACCTATGGTCTTATGGTGACATTCTCATAGCAGCGGGATCCTAATAAATCAAGTCAAAATCATAGGCATTTGCAGTCTTAAGGGCCAGATGTAGCCTATATCGGCGGAGCAGTGTCGGCCCCTGTCTTAAGACTGGGATATGCAGTATTGGGATGGGCTGGCAGAAGATCATCGCTACCGAAAAGAAATCCAATGAAAAATATCTTCATTCTCTCGCTCAGGGTCTTCATGGTTGTCGCCTACTGCCTTGGCAGACTTGTGGTTTCATCCGATTGTTTCCAGCCCCCTCTTTCAATAGGAGCTCAATTTGGTGGTGTTGAGTGATAGGGAGCCGGGTGGCTGTAAGACAGGGTTATTTTGTGAGCCTGTCCTCCTGTGCTCTTTCAGTAGTTTATTTTGTATTCCTTTGTTTCTGGTCCCCTCCTTTGTTTCGTGTGCCTCACTGCTGAAATCATCCCTGTGTAAATGAAACCGCAGCACGTTCAAAAGCCACGGGCCCATGTCCTCTGCCTTACCCAGGTGTTTCAATAGGCTGATGTGGATGCTTGCACGATTACAAATTCACAAAGTTTTTACCAGTTCAGTGTCCTTACGTGACTCTTGAAAGGGCAGTGTGCAATATACACTAAGGATACCAAACATGAGGAACACCTTCCTAATATTGAGTTGCACTCCCTTTTGCGCTCAAGAACAGCCTCAATTCTTCAGGTCATGGACTCTACAAGGTGTCAAGTGTTCCACAGGGATGCTGGCCCATGTTGACTCCAATGCTTCCCACAGTTGTATCAAGTTGGCTGGATGTCCTTTGGGTGTTGGACCATTCTTGATACACACGGTAAACTGTTGAGCGTGAAAAACCCATAAGAGTTGCAGTTCTTCACATAAACCGGTGCGCGTGGCACCTCCTACCATACCTAGTTCAAAGGCACTTCAATCTTTTGTCTTTCCCATTCACCCACTGAATGGCACACATACACGATAGTCTAAATTGTGTCAAGTCTTAAAAATCCTTCATTAACCTGTCTCCTCCCCTTCATCTACACTGATTTTGAAGTGGATTTAACAAGTGACATCAGTAAGGGATCATAGCTTTCACCTGGATTCACCTGGGCAGTCTGTCATGTTCTTAATGTTTTGTATACTCGGTGTATGTACCGTATAATGTATGTACAGGGAACTGCCAAAATAAATTAAACACTAATATAAAGTGCCTTGATAGGGCGTTGAGCCAGAACAGCTTCAATGCACCTTGGCATACACTATATATACAAAAATATGTGGACACCGCTTCAAATTAGTGGATTCTGCTATTTCAACCACACCCGTTGCTGACAGGTGTATAAAATCAAGCACACAATCAATCTCCGTAGACAAAGGTTGGCAGTAGAATGGCCTTACTGAAGAGCTTAGTGACTTTGAACGTGGCACTGTCATAGAATGCCACCTTTCCAACAAGTCAGTTCGTTAGATTTCTGCCCTGCTAGAGCTGCCCCGGTCAACTGTCAGTGCTGTTATTGTGAAGTGGAAATGTCTAGGAGCAACAATGGCTCAGCCGCGAAGTGGTAGGCTACACAAGCTCACAGAACGGGAGTGCTGTAGCGCCTGTCCTTGTTTGCAATACTCCCTACCGAGTTCCAAACTGCCTCTGGAAGCAACGTCAGCACGAGAACTGTACGTCGGGAGCTTCATGAAATGGGTTTCCATGGCCGAGCAGCCGCAGACAAGCCTATGATCACCATGTGCAATGCCAAGCGTCGGCTGGAGTGATGTAAAGCTCGCCGCCATTGGACTCTGGAGCAGTGGAAACGCGTTCTCTGGAGTGATGAATCACGCTTCACCATCTGGCAGTCCGACGGATGAATCTGGGTTTGGCGGATGCCAGGAGAACGCTACCCGCCCCAATGCATAGTGCCAACTGTAAAGTTTGGTGGAGGACGACTAATGGACTGGGGCTGTTTTTCATCGTTCGGGCTAGGCCCCTTAGTTCCAGTGAAGGGAAATGTTTACGCTACAGCATACAGTGACATTCTAGACTATTCTGTGCTTCCAACTTTGTGGCAACAGTTTGGGGAAGGCCCTTTCCTGTTTCAGCATGACAATGCCCCTGTGCACAAAGCGAGGTCCATACAGAAATGGTTTGTCGAGATCGGTGTGGAAGAACTTGACTGGCCTGCACACAGCCCTGACCTCAACCCCATCGAACACCTTTGGGATGAATTGGAAGACCGACTGCGAGCCAGGCCTAGTCGTCCAACATCAGTGCCCGACCTCACAAATGCTCTTGTGGCTAAATGGACGCAAGTCCCCGCAGCAATGTTCCAACATTTAATGGAATGCCTTCCCAGAAGAGCGGAGGCTGTTTATAGCAGCAAAAGGGGGACCAACTCCATATTAATGCCCATGATTATGGAATGAGATGTTCGACCAGCTTCGACAAGCAGGTGTCCACATACCTTTGGTCATGTTGTGTAGATTCTACAAGTGTCTGGAATTCTATTGGAGGGATGTGACACCGTTCTTCCTATAGAAATTCCATAATTTGGTGTTTGTTGTTGGTGATAGATATCGCGGTCTCAGGCGACGCTCCATAATCTCCCATAAGTGTTCTGTTTGGTTGAGGTCTGGTGACTGAGACGGCCATGGCATATGGCTTACATCGTTTCCATGCTTATCAAACCATTCAGTGACCACTCGTGCCCTGTGGATGGGGTCATTGTCATCCTATGGGGGGGCATTGCCATGGTAGCCAAAATAATGGCCTGCCTAGCATTTTTATACATGACCCTAAGCATGATGGGATGCTAATTGCTTAATTAATTCAGGAACCACACCTCTGTGGAAGCATCTGCTTTGTATCCGTAATTTCTCAAGTGTTTCCATTTATTTTGGCAGCAACCTGTATGTGGCTGTAAAAGACGTGTACAGTTTGTATGACATGGGTGTAATGTGCAATGTATGTACAGTCCTTCAGAAAGTACTCACACCCCTTTTACTTTTCCACATTTTGCTAAATTACAGCCTGAATTTAAAATGGATGAAATGTAGTTTTTTTTTTGTTACTGGCCTACACGCAATACCCCATAATGTCAAAGTGGAATTATGTTTTTAGACATTTTCACAAATTAATGAAAAGCTGAAATGTCTTGAGTCAATAAGTATTCAACCCCTTTGCTATGGCAAGCCTAAATACGTTCAGGAGTAAACATTTCACATAAATTGCATAAATAGTGTTTAACAATTTTTGAATGACTACCTCAATCTGTACCCAACACATACAATTATCTGTAAGGTCCCTCAGTTGAGCAGTGATCAAACACAGTCAAACACAGGCTGAACAGTCAAACACAGATTCAACTACAAAGACCAGGGAGGTTTTCCAATGCCTCGCAAAGAAGGCCACCTATAGAGTACCACAGTATGAGTCATAATACCCATAAAACCTAGCGGTCAAACAAGGAAATGGTTCCAATCGTTTTTCCACCATTCATTTTTCCCATAGGGTATTTTAGAAACACTGGAGAAAAAAAGTGCTGTGTTTTGTGTAGGCTTACCCTGGCGTGACATTTTGATAACCGTGTAAATCTCTCTAGGACAAGGTCTTTTATCAATGTATTTGCCTCCAAAAAATGAAATGCTAATGTGGCTATCATAAAGAACTACAAATGACATGATGATCTGGACTAGACTGCCGAATCGAGGCAAAGTTAAGAATCTCTGGATTAACTATCCAATGTTAGATACATTTAGTAATGAATAAATTGGCAACATTTCTTTAAATTGACAATTATGTGAACTGTCTTGTGCATGTTTTAAATGTACACTATGTGTTAGCTAAGGTGTCAGCTAGATGATGTGCAGGAGCTTGCAGGGATTTGTAGTCTTGCGTGATGTCTACTTTGACGCTAATTAGCATTTTTGAACCATAGAGTAAATGGAGCCGACTATATTGATAAGTCACCTTGTCCGAGAAAGATTTACATGCTTATCAAAACGGCACGCCAAGGTAAGCCTACACAAAACACAGCCCTGTATTTTAAGTGTTTCTAAAATTCCCTATGGGGAAAAATTAATGGTGGGAAAATGATTAGAGCCATTTCCCTGTTTGACTGCTAGGTTTTATGGGTATTATGACACCTCCACTGTGGGGCTCGATTGATAGATGGGTAAAAAAAAAAAAAAAGCAGACACTGAATATCCCTTTGAGCATGGTGAAGTTATTAATTACACTTTGGGTGGTGTATCAATACACCCATTCACTACAAAGATACAGGCGTCCTTCCTAACTCCGTTGCCGGAGAGGAAGGAAACCGCTCAGGGATTTCACCATCAGGCCAATGTTGACTTTAAAAGAGTGTTTAATTTCTGTGATAGGAGAACATTTAGGATGGATCAACATCCATTGTAGGTACTCCACAAGACTAACCTAATTGACAGAGTGAAAAGGAAGCCTGCACAGAAATATTCCAAAACATGGATCTTGTTTGCATCAAGGCACTAAAGTAATACTGAAAAAAGAATTCGGCAAAGCAATACTTTTCTGGTCCTGAATACAAAGTGTTATGTTTGGGGCAAAACACAACACATTACTGAGTACCACTCTCCATAGATCATGTTATGGCTATGCTTGTAATCATGAAGGACTGAGGAGTTTTTCAGGATAAACAATGGACCTAAGCACAGGCAAAATCCTAGACGAAAACCTGGTTGTCTGCTTTCCACCAGACACTGGGAGATTAATTCACCTTTCAGCAGAACAATAACTTAAAACACAAGGCCAAATCTACTGTACACTGGAGTTGTTTACTAAGAAGACACTGAATGTTCCTGAGTGGCCGAGTTACAGGTTTGACTTAAATCGACTTGAAAATAAATGGCAAGACCTGAAAATGGTTGTCTAGCAATGATCAACAATCAATTTGACAGAGCTTGAAGAATTTTGAAAAGGATAATGCGGGAATGTTGCACAATCCACGTGTGGAAAGCTTTTTAGAGACTTACCCAGAAAGACTAACAGCTGTAATCACTGCGAAAGGTGCTTCTACAAAGATTAAATTAAAAATGAAAAAAGTATTGACTCAGGTGTGTGAATACTTATGTAAATGAGATGTCTGTATTTCATGTTTTCACTTTGTCATTATGGGGTATTGTGTATAGATGGGTGAGATTAAAATATATATATATTTAATCGATGTTGTATTCAGGCTGTTACAGCAGTGGAATAATTAAAGGGGTATGAATACTTCCTGAAGGCACTGTATTATACTGAGTGTGTAATGTACAGTGTTTATTTTGTATACAGCAGTACTGTGTCTTAAGAATCCCCCCCCATCTTCCTCCTCAGGCACCATTGGCTTCTTTGCCTGCTTCTGGTTTGTAAGTAAAATCTACAGCGTGGTCAAGGTGGACTAACGGATGGAGGGCCGGACTCCCTGCTCTCACAGTGCAGAGCTTCTACAGTGACCGCTTTGAGGAAAGGAAGCCCTTTTGAATGACTTGAAACATCACATATCTCAGAAAATATCTGGAGAGGAGAGGCCCTCAAACTTGATATGTTGCTGTCGTAATTATTTTAGCTTTTACCGTCTGTCTAACATTAATTGACGTTTTTGATTTGACTTGCACCTTGATCTCCGAGGTGCGTTCCAAAGATCTAAGTTAGCGGGCGACTGGTTAGGGGAAGGTGGTGAAGGATGAACCGAAATGCATTTATTTTCCATTTCTAATGTAAAAAAAAAAAGATCTTTATTTTATTTAGCTTTTATATTCTCAGAAACCCAAACGTCTATTTTTGTTTTTCACCAACTCTGCTGTATTGAGAATATATAAATGTTGATATTTAAAGAATGTCAGCTATATGGAACTGTCCTTTATATGTTTGGGGTTTGTTGTTTTTATATCTGTGAGGTGAAGACGGGCTGTAGAATCCTAACCATTAATGACCTGTACTATCGTTTTACAGCAATGGATACTGTATAACTATGACCCAGCCATGATGAAATCTGTTTGTTCTTGTTATTTTTATGGCTATATTTTGGTTTATATGAAAATAAGAACCTAGTTAGAAGCACATCTTTATGGTAGATTAATTTGCTATAACAGTGGAAATTTAAGGCCAAGCTTATGACTCATTGATATGATTTTGTATGTATTGTAACATCTCACATGGCACAGGAGAAAGCACCTTGGTGGATGATGATACATATGCATTACAGTATAACCGTTTAGACGTTTATTTCTTATTAGGTAACTTACTGTAACTAGATCTAAAAATCCTGCTGCTTTTTCTATTTATTAGTGCGGGGTCATTACCTAAGGTGAAAACGTCTTTACAAATAAATACATTTGATTTAACTGGAAACTAAAGCTAATGCATCTTCACGTTCTCTATACTCTCAGATGGAACTTGGTGACTGACATCATTGAATAATTTCCCACCTTTAAAGGGGCAATCCGGGATTGGTACATCCATATTTTTTTTTATGATACAGCCGTTGATTATTGAAGATTATAAACTGGATGGTTCGAGCCCTGAATGCTGATTGGCTGACAGCCGTGGTATATCAGACCTTATACTACAGGTATGACAAAACATATATTTTTACTGCTCTGATTTAAGTTGGTAACCAGTTTATAATAGCAATAAGGCACCTCAGGGGTTTGTTGTATATGGCCAACATACCACGGCTAAGGGTTGTAACCAGGCACTCCGCGTTGCGTTGTGCCTAAGAACAGCCCTTAGCCGTGGTATATTGGCCATATACTACACCCCCTCGGGCCTTATTGCTTAAATATAACATGCCCAGCTGTTTACCAACATAAGTGGCGTTGTGACCGCTTTGTTGTTTTTCAAATCCCGGATTGCCCCTTTTAAAGGCAAAGCATCAATCTCACTGCCGTTGCATTGAAGGAGTTCTGATCAGCATTGTTGAAACTCACGCTTTATTAATTTTTATAAATGAACTGTACACAAGCATCCTCGGACCGTGTTGGAAATGTTTTTGTTTTTTTAAGCACAATAGAAATATTCACAAATGTCTAGTTTTTAAAGAAGTACTGCATATAAAACATTCTGTTATTTACTTTAGTGTCACTATATTACATGTTCAACAGGAAACATATCACACAATACTTTACAATGGTGTCGGTGATGATTCTTGCCTTCCTTTGATGTTTGATTGTCAACTAGCACTCCGGGTCAATTACCTTTAAACAAAATGGCTGAAAATTGAGATTCTCAGCATTCAAGTCTATTTCACTCATACTTAACCCACTTCAGGCTCTCAACAACATGCATACAGATCACACTTGCTGAAGGACTTCCACTCACAGCAGAGATGAACCACTGCTGAAAATAACACTACTGTAACGACTATATCGGCACCGTGTTCCAGTTTGTTAGCCAACAATTCTGTGATGAGCTCTCAGATGAATTTGCTTTAGATTTAACAATTACACTTTTTTTTAAACAGTCTTGGTTCCTTAAGACCAGGGTCAGAGTACATGTACAGACAGGTCCATAGTTATTTGCACCCTTGATAAAGGGGGGCGGGAGAGAGACTGTATAAAATCTGGTCCTCTGTAGCTCAGCTGGTAGAGCACGGCGCTTGTAACGCCAAGGTAGTGGGTTCGATCCCCGGGACCACCCATACACAAAAATGTATGCACGCATGACTGTAAGTCGCTTTGGATAAAAGCGTCTGCTAAATGGCATATTATTATTATTATTATTATTAAAATAAGTAATACAAATACTGAGCTATATTGTATGCTAAAACCATTGGGAAATTATTTTATACTAATACAATTAACAAAATTATTGGCACCCCTGTTTTCAATAATCTAGCACCCTCTGCTTGCGAGGATAACAACATACTTTTTTCTAAACTGGTTTTATGTGATTGAAGGACACGTTGGGAGGGATCTTAGACCATTCCTCCATACAATATCTTTCCAGATCCTTGATATCCTTTGTCTGCTCTTATGGACTGTCCTATTCAATTCAAACCACAGGTTTTCAATGGGGTTCAAGTACGTATACTGAGATGGCCATTGCAAAATGTTGATTTTGTGGTCAATTAACCATTTATTTGTAGATTTTGATCACTGATTGGGGTTATTGTCTTGCTGGAAGATCCACTTGCAGCCAAGTGTCCAGGTACTTGGTCAAGTTCATGATGCTGTTAAACTTAAGGGCCCCACGACCAGTGGAAGCAAAATAGCACCATAACATCAAAGATCCACCACCATATTTTACCGTAGGTATGAGGTACTTTTCTGCATATGTTTCTGTTTTTCCAACGTCAAACCCACCACTGGTGTTGCGTAACCAGAGCTCTATTTTCATGTCATCTGGCCATAGCACCAGTTCCAAACCAAGATCCAATGCCGTTTATCAAACTCCAGGCGGCCCTTTATCAAGGGTGCCAATAATTATTATAGGGCCTGACTGTACATTCATCCCATGGCTTTGAGCAATACATTTCCGAATCGATATGTGCGCATTTGTACACTGCTCAAAAAAATTAAGGGAACACTTAAACAACACAATGTAACTCCAAGTCAATCACACTTCTGTGAAATCAAACTGTCCACTTAGGAAGCAACACTGATTGACAATACATTTCACATGCTGTTGTGCAAATGGAATAGACAACAGGTGGAAATTATAGGCAATTAGCAAGACACCCCCCAATAAAGGACTGGTTTTGCAGGTGGTGACCACAGACCACTTCTCAGTTCCTATGCTTCCTGGCTGATGTTTTGGTCACTTTTGAATGCTGGCGGTGCTTTCACTCTAGTGGTAGCATGAGACGGAGTCTACAACCCACACAAGTGGCTCAGGTAGTGCAGCTCATCCAGGATGGCACATCAATGCGAACTGTGGCAAGAAGGTTTGCTGTGTCTGTCAGCGTAGTGTCCAGAGCATGGAGGCACTACCAGGAGACAGGCCAGTACATCAGGAGACGTGGAGGAGGCCGTAGGAGGGCAACAACCCAGCAGCAGGACTGCTACCTCCGCCTTTGTGCAAGGAGGAGCAGGAGGAGCACTGCCAGAGCCCTGCAAAATGACCTCCAGCAGGCCACAAATGTGCATGTGTCTGCTCAAACGGTCAGAAATAGACTCCATGAGGGTGGTATGAGGGCCCGACGTCCACAGGTGGGGGTTGTCTTACAGCCCAACACCGTGCAGGACGTTTGGCATTTGCCAGAGAACACCAAGATTGGCAAATTCGCCTCTGGTGCCCTGTGCTCTTCACAGATGAAAGCAGGTTCACACTGAGCACGTGACAGAGTCTGGAGACGCTGTGGAGAACGTTCTGCTGCCTGCAACATCCTCCAGCATGACCGGTTTGGCGGTGGGTCAGTCATGGTGTGGGGTGGCATTTCTTTGGGGGGCCGCACAGCCCTCCATGTGCTCGCCAGAGGTAGCCTGACTACCATTAGGTACCGAGATGAGATCCTCAGACCCCTTGTGAGACCATATGCTGGTGCGGTTGGCCCTGGGTTCCTCCTAATGCAAGACAATGCTAGACTTCATGTGGCTGGAGTGTGTCAGCAGTTCCTGCAAGAGGAAGGCATTGATGCTATGGACCGCCCGTTCCCCAGACCTGAATCCAATTGAGCACATCTGGGACATCATGTCTCGCTCCATCCACCAACGCCACGTTGCACCACAGACTGTCCAGGAGTTGGCGGATGCTTTAGTCCAGGTCTGGGAGGAGATCCCTCAGGAGACCATCCGCCACCTCATCAGGAGCATGCCCAGGCGTTGTAGGGAGGTCATACAGGCACGTGGAGGCCACACACACTACTGAGCCTCATTTTGACTTGTTTTAAGGACATTACATCAAAGTTGGATCAGCCTGTAGTGTGGTTTTCCACTTTAATTTTGAGGGTGACTCCAAATCCAGACCTCCATGGGTTGATAAATTTGATTTCCATTGATAATTTTTGTGTGATTTTGTTGTCAGCACATTCAATTATGTAAAGAAAAAAGTATTTCATTAGATTATTTCATTCATTCAGATCTAGGATGTGTTATTTTAGTGTTCCCTTTAATTTTTTTGAGCAGTGTATTTACAGTGCATTCGGAAAGTATTCAGACCCCTTTACTTTTTCCACATTTTGTTACGTTACAGCCTTATTCTAAAATTGATTCCCCCCCCCAAAAAAAAAATATCATACCGCATAATGACAAAGCAAAAACAGACATTTTTGCTGACAACAAAAGGTCCATAGTTATTTGCACCCTTGATAAAGGGGGGAGGGAGAGAGACTGTATAAAATAAGTAATACAAAATACTGAGTTATATTGTATGCTAAAATCATTGGGAAATTATTTTATACTAATACAATTAACAAAAATAAAGGCATCCCTGTTTTCAATAATCTAGCACCCTCTGCTTGCGAGGATAACAACATACTTTTTTCTAAAATGTTTTATGAGATTGAAGGACACGTTGGGAGGGTTCTTAGACCATTCCTCCATACAATATCTTTCCAGATCCTTGATGTCCTTTGTCTGCTCTTATGGACTGTCCTATTCAATTCAAACCACAGGTTTTCAATGGGGTTCAAGTACGTATACTGAGATGGCCATTGCAAAAAGTTGATTTTGTGGTCAATTAACCATTTATTTGTAGATTTTGATTACTGATTGGGGTTATTGTCTCGCTGGAAGATCCACTTGCAGCCAAGTGTCCAGGTACTTGGTCAAGTTCATGATGCTGTTAACCTTAAGGGCCCCACGACCAGTGGAAGCAAAATAGCACCATAACATCAAAGATCCACCACCATATTTTACCATAGGTATGAGGTACTTTTCTGCATATGTTTCTGTTTTTCCAACGTCAAACCCACCACTGGTGTGCGTAACCAGAGCTCTATTTTCATGTAATCTGGTCATAGCACCAGTTCCAAACCAAGATCCAATGCCGTTTATCAAACTCCAGGCGGCCCTTTATCAAGGGTGCCAATAATTATTATAGGGCCTGACTGTACATTCATCCCATGGCTTTGAGCAATACATTTCCGAATCGATATGTGCGCATTTGTACACTGCTCAAAAAAATTAAGGGAACAAATATCATACCGCATAATGACAAAGCAAAAACAGGTCTTTAGACATTTTTGCAAATTTGTTAAAAAAAAAATAAAAATATTACATTTACATAAGTATTCAGACCCTTTACTCAGTACTTTGTTGAAGCACCTTTGGCAGCGATTACAGCCTCGAGTCTTCTTGGGTATGACGCTACAAGCTTGGCACACCTGTGTTTGGGGAGTTTCTCCCATTCTTCTCTGTAGATCCTCTCAAGCTCTGTCAATTTAGATGGGGAGCATCGGTGCACAGCTATTTTCAGG